GCGCGGAGCCAACGCGGAGCCAAAAACGCGTTGAGAAGAGAAATCCAAGCCCAGGGCAGAACTCAGTTCTGTGTCACAAATTGCTTGTGTTATTTCTTGAACTCCCAATAATGACAGCAAACATCTAGCGTTTAGTCTGGGCCAGACGGTCCCAGCGCGGCCCCCCGGACGCATCTCACGCGTGCTCTGTGGCTGAGGCGTGTCAGTCCCCTTCACAGGTGGGATTTGGAAGTGGACACGGGGGGCGTGGGGACCTCCCAGTTCCCAAAGGGGGTGAGAAGCCCATGCGGGGCTTGAACCCCTCACTCCCGGGCCCCCCCTGGGCTTCCCTATCAGCACGCCAGGCTCTGAGATCCTCACAAGCGATGACTGAGCGGCGCTCGGTTTGGAGCGGACGTTCAGAGCCCGCTCTGGGCCCGGTGGGGAGCGGCTCCCGAGCAAACCCGACGTCCGGTGGCAGAGGGCTGGGCACTTCCTGTTTGCCCCCCACCCCGCCCCGCCCGGCCGGGGGAGCCTGCAAAAGGGCCGCCCGCCCGCAAGCCTGGAGCGCAGCCCCGAACAATGCCTGTGGTGTGCGCTGCAATTTGAAAACACTCCCTCGCGGTCCCAGCGACGCAGAATGGGGACGCGGCAGAGAAAGGCTGGAAAGAAAGGGTGTTGGGGAAAAAAGAAAAGGAAATTGTTGGAGGGTCCTGAGTCATTTCACCCTTAGCATCACATCTCCTCTCCTTATGGTGGTCGTTTTTGCGACCGAGACCTGAGAAACCTGGGGCTGCAGGGTGTCTAGGAAGTAAGACCTGGCGAGCAGATGGAAGGCACGGGGTGCGCTGGTGACCGGCCCGTGCAGGGACTATGTGTGCGTCGGGGACAGCCCGCGGCCCGGCCTGCTCTCTGCAGGCCATTTGGGGCGAACCGAGTGTGGCATTCGTGGGGAGACCGGGAGCGGGCACCGTCTGTGACAGTCATTTCCAGAGCGGGCTGAGCGAGATCAGTCACCCCTGTCTGGCACGTCTCTGGGGGCGAACCACAGCCTCTTCCCAGACGCTGGCAGCCGTTGTCTGGGGCCGCACTTCCTGCTCTGCAGCGCCGGGGACTTTGGCTGCGCCACTTCCACCGGAGCCTGGTTTCAGCGTCCCTGAGCCAGAGCTGGCACCACTGCGTCCCCCCGCCCCCCGGGCCATGGGACCCGATGCATCTGTGCATCTTGGGAACGCGGGGTAGGCGGCGTGCAGAGATCCTCGGTGGGGCTTACCGTGGCCTTGCTGAGCGGGCGCCTCCCCAGCTCGGGGCCTCGGTGTCCCCGGACGGACTGAATGGGCTTCCAGCTCTGCCGTCCCCGGCTGCGCACACAACGCAGGCAGCCCCGCCTCCCAGAGGACGCGACCACACACTCAGTAAACGCTTTCTGGCTCTGATGGGAACGAGCAGGGAGGTGAATTCACACCTTTGCTTCCCCTCGCTCGCCAGGCGTCCCCCGGGCTCCTCCCTGGGGCCCCCACCATCGAGGCCGGGGCCATGGGGGCGCAGGGTGTGCAGGAGCCGCCTGCAGGCCACTCGGCCACGGCCGGGAACAGCCCGGCCCCGAGGGCGCCCCAGTGTCCAGAGACACCGCTGTCCCCCCGACTGACCAGGGGGCTGAGTCATATCACCAAGCGCGGCTTCGCCAGCCCTGCCAGCCCCTGAACTCCCCAGATCACTCAGCGCCCCAGGGCCTGGTTCCCACACTTTGCCCTAAGAAAGCCACGGGGTCGCGGGAGGTGAGGAGGAAGCCCAGAATTAGTCACAAGCGGCAAGTCAGAAATACCCACGCCCCGGTGCCCAGGGTGCCCGGGGGCTGACCTTTCAGTGCCCGGCTCAGCCCCCGCAGCCCTTTCCTTGTGGCAACGAGGGAGAGGGGACGGGGCCTGGGAACTAGGTGACCGGGGGAACTGGTCCTGGGCCGTGTCCGCCCGTGGCCCCCGCCGACCAGCCCTTTCCAGGACTCGCTTCCTTCGATCTGCCGGGCGGCCTGGCACGGGGAGCCTTGGCGTCCTTCGCACCGCAAGGCGGGGCTGGCCGAGGGGCAGGCGCCCCAGGCAGGCCGCTGGCCGTGGCGGCCGGGCCGGGCCCAGGGCGTCCGGCTCTTCCTTAACTGCCCTGAAAAACGAGAGGCGTGGGGAGCACGTCAAGGAAAAAGAAATGGAAGTGGGAACAAGGGCCGCCAGCCTTGGTCTCCGACGGTCACCGCCGCGCTGACCCTGCTCCCTCGGGCCCGTGTATCGTGCCCTTTCACAAAGCACTCGCGGAACGCGGCGTCCTTCCTGTCCCCAGCGCGCTGTGTCCTATCGTCTCGTGTTCGGACGGGGCCTCCATGGCCCTCCCTTCCCCGGGCCCCGCCCCAGGCGTGGGGGACACAGTGCGGCCTGACACAAAGCCCCTTCGCGCAGGGACCTCAGGTTGCACCCGGCAGCAAAGTGGACGGTCAGCCCCAGAGTCCCTGGGGGTGAGGCAAAGGCGCCTTTTATGCGGCGGGCTCTGTGGCCCCCCCAAAACCAAAGGAACCACTAGTTTATATCCCCAAAGCGTGTGGGCATGCGACAGGAGTTTTTTGCCTTTTTAAAGTCACCCTCCACATTCACCAACCTCCCTTTAAGCGACATCTTAAAATTTGCAGAACAGTCCGTGATAGGACGGCTGAGTTACAGACGTCCTTAAAGAGCCTGAGAGGGAACAACCAGGGGTCCCGCGTTTTGGGGGGGCGGGGAGGACTAGTCCTAAGGCTCTGGCGGCCGACGGACTAACTTCCGTCTGAAGACGCCGCCGCCGCCGCGAGGCGGGCCCGCCCGCTCAAGGCAGGACTCATGGTGGGCTCATTCAGAGGCCCTCCCAGCAAAGGGAGGGAACTTTCTGGCCACATCGGAGGGAAACACTGGGTTTCAGTCGCTGCAGGGTGAGGGGCTGGGGGCAGTGAACGCCCCCCGGGCTCAGAGAAGCCCCTCGTCTGTCTGCGGGGAGCACAGCTCGTCAGTCAGGAGAAGCCGGTGGGGCCTGAGTAGGGGTGGGGGCTCAGCCCACACAACGCGGGGGAGGCCCGTCCGAGAAGCTGAGCTTGCGCAGTGGGAAGTGACCACCGCAGGCCCCAGAAAGCCACAGAGGGATGGGGAGGGCCCAGTGGGCCTGGGCTCTGGGGCACGGAAGTGACGCTGGGCCCACAGGCCGGCCTGGGGGGAGGAGTCCCGAGCTCCGGTCCCCTGGCTGACTGACGTTCCTTTGGGGCAAATCCTCTTCCGTCAGAAGTACTGTTCGCCTGAATCTAAAAGGCCAGAGTGAAAAGCCACAAGCATTTATTTGAGATTGAAAAACGGAAAGAAAGAAAAAGAGGAAAAGAGAACGAACAGCTATTCCAAAAGCAGCCTGTGATCAGGCAGACACGCGCGCAGCGTCCGGGTCTGGGGACAAAGGCGGGGGCGGGGCACGCACAAGGAAGGGGGCAGCGGGGCAGCGTCATCCGCCGAAGCAGGGCGACGCGGCCTCTGAACAGTCCTTCCGCTTCCAGCCTGGCAGCCGTCACCCCTGCCCTCCTGAGACCTTTGCCAACAGCTCTTGGGGACACAGCATTGCCGGGGGCCCGCCCAGAGGTTACCCCGCCCAGCGCTGGCAGCACACGATGGGCTCGGCAGGCCCTTGGGGACAGCAGCTCCTACTGCATTTTAGGGGGCTCCGTCTATATATATATACTACACGTATTTAACATACACTTATAAATACGTGATCTATAGAACAGCACAAACACTGCATGTGCAAGCACCTCCCCCGCCCAGAAACCCAAAAGGCAAGTCACAGAACCACAAAGTGCAAAACGCCTGTCCCGACACTGGGCCCGGGCGGCCTCCGGAAGGGCAGCAGAAAGGCTCGGCGCGCGCCGTTGAAAATCACACGGATGGGTTTCCTCTTCGGAGCGGCCCCTGGCCAGCCGCTGCCCTTCCCTTCGGTCTGTGTCTTTCTCTCGACAGCCTACGAGGTAGGAAATGCTCCGTGGAACTGCGAGAAGAGCCCGCCCATTGCTCTCCTGCAGGGTGACCTCGCCCACGTGGCTGCGGCCAGCTCTGCCACCAGATCCTGGCCACCCTGAGGTCAACCTCAGCCGCCCCCCCTGTGCTTTGCCTGACCCGAGTTCAGCCGCCTCCTGGTGCTCACTTCCCTCCCCCGCCCACGGGAAGGAGGACGCCAGTCAAGCTGGGATGAGCAGCGGCATTTATTGAGAAAGAGGAACTCACGCAGAAGACCCCGGGGTCCCCGGCCGGCGGACAGAGCATCTGCGCGCCGAGCGAGGGATCCCAGTTCCCCGCCCGGGGAAGGACGCCGGCCGCTTCCAGGTGAGTCCCGAGGCGCCGCGGAAGCGGCCCCCCTGGGACATGGCGGGGCGGCCACACCTGGCGGCTGGCACGGGCGCCGGCTCCCAGGGCTCTGGTGAGCTTTGAAAATGAAAACCCGCCACGACAGTGCCTGGATGACTCGGCGAAACCCGCAGATGACCTGCCGGAGGGCGGCTCATTCCCACAGCGCGGGGGGTGCTTTGGAGCGGGGCCGAGGGCTGACTTCAGGAAGGTGTCTCGGGTGGCGACGGGAGGGGGCGCCGAAACGGCCGCCGGAGGCAGTGGCTTCGGGGTCTGAGCGTGTTCTTCTGGCCGGTGCTGCTGCCGACGGGGCCAGGAAGAAACCCACTTCCCTCTCCGGTAGCTGGGGAGCCTGTCGGTGTCCTGGCTGCCATCGCTGGGTCACAGGGCCTTTACGGAGCTCAAGGAAGTCCGCCCAGGCGCCCGCTGGGCTGAGAGGCCGCCGATCCCTCAGGCCGGCTGGGAGAGTTCAGGAAGCGCTGAGGCTGGCACAGCCGACGGCGCAGGAGACCTGGCCGTGGCGGAGCGGTGTGCTGCCAGCAGGGGAGGCGCGGCTGGGGATCCCGCCGCCGCCCTGGGCCCCCGTCGGGGCCGCTCGGGGCCGGCCGCAGCTCGGCTCTCCGTTCACGCGCGTCCCCCGCTTTCGGCCGGGCCCCGGGCCTCGGCGCTGGGGTCCGCGGAGCGCGAGGACGCGGAGCTGAGCCCGAGCGCCAGGCGCCAGGCCCGGACGCGGAACGAGCGGTCCAGCAGCAGGTAGATGAGCGGGTTGGCGCAGCTGTGGCCAAAGGCCAGGCAAGTGGCGACGGTGAGGCCCCAGCGCAGCGCCTGCAGCAGGCGGCAGGGCAGGGGCACGGCCCCGAGGCGCGCCAGGTGGAGGACGGCGCGCAGGATGCCGAAGGGCAGCCAGGAGCCCACGAAGGCGCCCTCGACGGCGCAGATGATGCGCAGGGGGGCGGCGGGGACGCGGCCCAGGCCCAGCGGCCGGCGCAGGCGGCGCGCCAGGCGGCAGTAGCAGAAGAAGGTGGCGCCCAGGGGCAGCGCGCAGGTCAGCAGCAGCAGCAGCAGCCCGAGGGCCTGGAAGGCGTCCGAGGGCTTCTCCCCACACTGGCTGCCCGGGCCTTCGGGCAGCGGCTGCAGGTCGCGGGAGACCAGGGCGGGCAGGCCGACCAGCAGCGCTGCCACCCAGGCGCCCCGGCACAGGGCGCGCGCGCACCGCGGGGAGCGCCGCGGGTGCGCGCCGCGCGGCCGGGCCACAGCCAGGTAGCGGTCGGCGGCCAGGCCGGCCAGCAGCAGCGCGCCCGCGCAGCGCGAGGCGGCCAGCGCGAAGCCGCTCAGCTTGCAGAGCGCACGGCCGAAGGGCCAGTGGCCGTCCTGCGCCGCCGCCACGGCCCACAGCGGCAGCGTCAGCACCAGGCCCAGGTCGGCGGCCGCCAGGTGCAGCACGAAGGTGTCCGCCAGGCGCCGCGGGGCCCGCCGCCAGGCCAGCAGCCGCAGCACCAGGCCGTTGCCTAGCAGGCCGACGGCAAAGGCCGCCAGGTAGAGCGTGGGGACGACGGCGCGGGCGCAGGGCAGCTCCCAGAACGCGCACAGCTCCAGCTCCTCCTCCAGGGCCCCGGCCCCGGACCCGGACCCCGAGTAGTCCCAGGACGCCGTCTCCGGGCTGAGGCTCCAGGGCTCGGTGGCGGGCATGGCCGGGTGGCGGGCGGTGCGCGCCGACGATGCGGTGCGGGTGCGGGCAGCAGCGGCAGCTCTGCAGGCGGGTGCCCAGCACCTCCCTTCCTGCAGCCCCGGCCCAGGCGAGGGGTGGGCAGGAAGGTGGAGGAGGAGGGGAGGCGGGTGCGGGGGAGGGGCCGCGCCTGTGGTGCAGGAGGGGGGCCTACGGTCGGAGGGTGGCACAGGGGAAGGGAGGGGAAGCGGGAAGCGGACAGGGCAGAGGACCTTCGGCCCTGGGTCCTTGGAGGAAGAGTCCTCGGCGCCTGGAGACCGCCTGGCCTCCCACGGGGGCAGCCTGATGTCGGGGCGCAGGCGGTGGGGCCCCGGAGCCCTGTCTGCTCCCCGCCCTGCCCCCCAGTCCTGGGGCTCTGCGGTGGTCTCTAGCTTCAGAGGGGAGGAGAGAGACCCGCAGGGGGGTTTCCTCTGGGAGGCGGGGCCTCAGCCGGTGCCCACCCCCTGCCCTCCCTGAAGGAGAACTTCTGCCGCCAGCTGCACAGCCCGGTGCCGGGGGACGGGGGTGGGGGGGGCGGGGAGGGGGGAGAGCCTGCCCTTAGAGCCCCACCTGGAGCCACCAGAGCTCGCGCGCCCGCGGGCTCAGCGTCCTGAGAGGTGGGGTTGAATGTCTGAACGCAAACCACGCCGGTCCCGCTGCAGCCAGGCTCTCGGGAAGCCCCAGGGGCGGGGCGCTCAGGCTCAGGAGTGAGGGGCGACAGTATCCACAGGCGAGGGCAGAGCCCTCGGTTCGGATCCGAGCTCTTCCCTCCGTTCGGCGAAACCTGCCTGCTGAGCCAAAGGCAGATAGATGGGAGGTCGGCGCAGCGGGCGAAGATGGTGCCCGGCGCAGCACAGGACGGCTGCCCTAAACGCGGAGCCAGGAGCTCATGGGCGGAGGGGGCACCGCCGGGGAGGGTCCTGGGGCGGGGGAGGGGCTCCGGGAGATAAGGGTGGGTGAGGCAAGCCGCACCCTTTCTGCAGCAGGTGGGGCGCGGCGGCGGGGGTTCTGGGCGATGCCGTTGAGGGCCACCTCCTCCCCCGAGGCGCCGCATTGGAGCGCACGTTCCCGCCCGCGTGTGCCTTCCCAGGGCCCCCCCACGGTGACCAGGAATGAGTGACAGCCGTGGGCGACGCGGTGCCAAAGCTCGGGGGAAGGGTCATCGGGTTTTTCCGAGGCGCTGACAGCGGCAGGCGCCCTGGGCCTTCGAGGCTCACGGTCCAGGCCGGCGCGGCCGCGCAGTGGGCCCCCCGGCTCGGTGTGCAGAGGCACGTTGTGGGGAACGAAGTCCCCTCCGACGGCGAGGGGCACGGAGCAGGTGGCCCAGGAGGCGGCTGAGCCCAGGGTGACCACAGTGGGGGTGGGGGCGGTGCGGTGGAGGGACGTGGCGGGAGAGGAAGCAGATGTCGAGCTTGCGTTTCCTTCTGCAGGTGGCGAGGAGCCCCGGGCCATTTTTGAGTAGACACAACACCCACTTTTGGCAGCACAGCGGGCGCGAGGGCAGGCTCAGGCCGGGGGACCCCGCCGTGGGCTCTGGTCGCTTGTGTGGGTGTAGGGGGTCTGGCAGCAGGACAGAGGAAGAGCATCTATTCAGGGGAGCCCAGAGGATGGGCCTGGGCACCCTGCCGGGGACTCCGTGGGTGTCGCCCGGTCCCTTGAGGCACGCGCACGCGTATTGGGTTTGGCGTCGATTTGACAGAGGGTGACAAAGGTATTTATTTATGACTCAAACCAAGACACCCCCCGAGTGTGTAAGCACCCGGACCTCAGCCGGGCACCCGACAGCAGGCCTCAAGCTGGACGTCCCTCCGGCCACGGCATCGTCCGGGGAGCGGGGACGTGTGGGGAGCGTGGGGGTTGCCTGTGCCCGGCTGGCCCTCTCCTCGGCTGGGCACAGAGGGCTTCCGCCCCTCCCCCGCGGGCATCCGGCCCCCGCGCCCCCGCGGGCGCTCACCTCGGAGCTGCTGGAGAGCCCGAGACGTCCTCCTTCGTCCTCCTCCTCACGTCAGAGCCCCCGGGCGCTGGCCGGGGGCACCCCGCGCTGAGGCCCACGGGCCGAGCCTCCCGCTGCGGGCAGGGCCTGCTGGCCGGCCCGGGGCTCCGGGCCGCGCCCCCCACCCCCGGGCCCCCTCTGCGTCTGCAGCCCTCGGGGCCCCAGGGACCCTGACACCGACCAGGAGCAGCCGGGGAACCACCAGGTGAGCGGGAAGATGCGGTGAGCAGGCGACAGGGGCATGGGCGGGGCTGGCGAGTGGAACGAGGTTGTTTATGAGAAACGCAGAGGCTTTTGCTTCCTGGGCTGTGGCCTCCCCACCCCACCCCCAGGGGAGTCTGAGGCCAGCGCACAGGGCAGCCTCTCTCTGCCGGGCCTGGACGGGAGGGGCGGCAACGGCCAGCGCACCCCGCCCGGCCCAGGTCGTGACCCAGGAGGAGGTCCCCGAGGACCCGGCCACCGGCTGGCGGGTCTCCGCAGGGCCCAGTGGGCGGGGCCCTCGCTCACTCTCCCTGACCGGCCGGGGCCTGGGGCAGAGGCGACCCCAAGACGCGGGCACCCGCCCTGACCGAGCGAGCTCTCAGCAGCTGGTTTTCTTTTGGCCCCTTTGTGGGGTCCTGCAATGTGCCCCTCCAATTTCAGCTTTTCTGCACAAGTCATCTTAACCCTTTAGGGAGAGGGCTGAGAATGACGCCTTTTTCACCAGGAAAGCCACCCGACCACATCACAGCACACACCCCCAGTCGCCCCGGGCCGCCGAGCGCTCTGCCAACCAGCCGGGCCTTTTCAAAAGGGGACAGTTCACTTACAACCCCATCGTTCTTGGGATTTTCTGCTTTTTCCCCCCGCATTCTATTTCAGATATTCGCCAAGTTTGGAGTTTTTTTGGTGGTTTTACACCACCAGTCAGAGCCACGTTTGTGATTAGAAGGTGAATGCTGTACCGCCTCACAATTTGGGGGGTGGCTTGATTTCTAGTTCCTTAATTTCGGACATTTAGGTTGTGATCAGTATTGTTGCTATTGAAGAGATTTGTAATAACTGCGCTGAGGAGCACTTTTCTCCTTTCCAGACGCTGTTTTCACGGCGTGAGCCCCGCGTTGCAGGCAAGAGGCTGCAAAGAGCTCAGCGCCGAGTAACTGTGCGGCCGAGAGTCCCGGGCGCCCTGTGATCGTTCGACACGCCCATCGATAAAATACATTGTCTCCCTTTTCACGGGTACCGAGGTGAAAGTGTCCCTTGCTTTCGTGTGCATTTCTCCAAACAGGAATGCGCGCGGGACACCCCGCACGCCTCACGCCCCGAGCTGCTCTGATCACGTGTGACTCCGCGTCCCGGCACCCGTGCCTCCAGCTGTTTCCCCGGGCTTTTTCCTTAGCGACTCTTGTGTCGAGTTTCACATTTTCACATAGTCTACTCTCTCGTGCTGAGCAATTTCGGAGTTTAAAGTGTTGACTTTCTTACCCTGGCCTGTGCGGCTCCGTGGGTGGGAGCATCTTCCCGAGAGGTCGCGGGTTCCAGCCCCGCCTGGGTGTGCGAGGGGCGGGGACAACCCCTCGACGTGTCTCTCTCCCTCTCCCCCCTCCCCCCTCCCCTCCCCTCCTCTAAGAGTGTGTCCATGGGTGAGGATTTTTTAAAAAGTTACTTTTTCTTTGATGACTTACATACATTCAATGCTGTTCTTGTTAAAAACTAAGCTTGTCTTTTTCCCCATCTATGTACAGTGCTTTTTTCTCGGATGTCTACCCAGCTTTCCCAAAACTATTCAATCAAAAGCAGAGATTTTACTTGCAACTACTGTAAAATAATGTGGACCACCCGCCGCAACGGACAGACGGAGCGTAGCTGTGGGACCCTCCGTCTGGGCGGGGGACCGCCGACCACCGAGCCGGCCCAGCCGCGGCCGGGGGCTGCCCTCCGCGGCCGCTTGCCCCTCGGCCCCATTCCTCCATCTGCGGGGAGGTGACCCCGGCCGCCCTGGGCGGGGTGGGAGCAGGTTCAGCAGGTGCCCACTGTGCAGGGGTGCCACGCGGCCTCACAGGGGACGGCTCAGTGGCCGCGGTCCCTGCTGCTCCTGCCCCGGGACGCGTGCTTTCTCTGCGCCCAGCGGGAGGCCAGTGGGTGGGCTTGGGACGGCGCCAGGTCCCTCCGGGTGGAGCAGCTGGCGGCTGGGACACACGGAGCGTGAGGAGGACCTTGCAGGCCGCCTGCCCGTGGGTCCACGCTGACTGGGGGGGCACTGAGCTGGGAGTGGGGTGTCCCCATGGCGGGCTGGCCACCGGGGGTGGGGGGCTTCCTGCAGACAGTGCCCCAAGCCCTGGGCGTGTGTGTGTGCAGGCTTGGCGGGCACACCGGGGGAAGGGTCACCCCCGCACGCCCGAGGCCGTGCGGGGCGTGTCGGACGCTGTTATTTCAGAGGCGTCCAGCCCCACACAGGGGCGGGGTGGGGGGCGGCTGGGAAGGGCCGGCACCTGTGACACGCCCCCTGCCACCGGAGGTGACTCTGCGAAAGCCTGTGGCCTGCAGCTGCACGAGCCTGGGGGGAGGGGCCCACTCCCCTGCGGCCCTCGGGTGGGCGAGGGGAGACGGGCCCTCAAGGAAAGAGAGCAGGGCCCCACCTCACTCCACGTCCGCGTTCTCAGAGGCGAAAACAAGCCCGGGCTTCAGGGCGAGTGGGAGGGGAGCCCCCCAATATAAAAAGGGCGCAGAACCCCCTGGAGAGGGCGGCCCTCCTCTCCGCGGCCCCTCCGCTGCCCACGGAGCTTCTCCGCGGGGCCGTGCCCTGGCTTCCCAGTGGCTACTTCACAGACGGTACTCGCTTCTCGCCGTTCGCGGCAGGACCGGGAAGGTCCCCTCCGCCCTGCGGGGGCTTCCCCAGGGGCGCTGTCACCATGCTGCCCGAGCGATGGACCCTGCTCCTCCGGTGCCCCTGACGTCCAGGGCTCTGGGGGCAGCCCCTCCCCACCGCAGGGTCTGACTCTGAATTCCAGGCCAGGACCCACTCGCCGGACGCGTCTTTCCTGAGACCCTGCGGCGGAGAGGCCGGCGAGGCCCCAGCCTGGCAGCACCCTCTGGGGACGGCGCGGAGGGAGTGGTGCTGGCAGACGCGGAGGCTCCCAAGAGCCCCCCGCGCCCGCCGGAGGTGGGGCCGGGCTGCCCGCGCCCACACTCTCCTGGCGCGGCTCCTTGGGGTCCGTGTGCCGACAGGCCAGGGCCCCGCCTCGGCCCGGCTGAGCCCTCACCCGGGGCGGGGGACGCAGCCTCCCTGGCGTCCGCAGACTCTTCTCTCGCACGGCCGCAGCGTGTGGGCAGATGCTCGCGGCGGGGAGGGTGGAGGCGTCCACAGCCGCCCGTGGCGTCAGGTGGCTCTGCTGCGCCACAGGAGCGCCTGGCGGAGGAGCGAGGCAGGTGCCTGTCACGTACGGTGATGTGGGGAGATTGTTTTTTTGGTGGTTTCATTAGGATTTTTTAAAAATCATCCTGGTCTCAGTGAGGAGAATTGGAAAAACACAAGTAAAACCCCGAGGATCCCAGTGAGAAGCTGACGCCCCAGGGCCGGTCACGGATCCGAGCGTCACTTGGCCGCTCGGCGTGCGGGTGCGGGTGCGGTGCGGGTGCGGGTGCCGGCTCCAGCGCGACTGTCACTGGCTCCCCGCAGGGAGCGGAGGGAGCAGCACGGCTGGGACCAGCACACGGCAGGCGCCACTCACGCGCCCCTGGAAGGGGCCAGCTGAACACACAGCGCCAACGTCCCTCGGCAGTAACACTTGCCTCTCGTAAATGTGCAAGCTGTTCGATCTAAACAGAGGCTGAGACACAGCTAACCTTTGTTGTGAGCGCGCCCTCCTCCAAGGAGGGCCACAGCAACGCCACGCTGCGCTCAAGCAGCAGGCGGTCCGGGGCCGCGCTCGATTCAGGCCACAGGCGCGGCCCCACGCCTGCCCCACGCCCGCCCCAGCACTGCAGCGGGGCCCCCGCCAGCCCCGCTCGGCGGGGTCAGCGCACCCCACACCGCACGCTGCCCTGCGGCGCCTGCGAAGCCATCACAAAAGGCTGCATTTGGCTTTAAACAACAACGAAACAAAAACACACGACACAAACACCCCGTATCAGCCGTCCTGAAAGAACCGAAAAGCCGCAGGAAGGCAGATGGCAGCCGCCTGGCAGCCGCGCCGCGATTCGGCAAACATCACCGAACAGTTGTCACAAGCTGTGACCCCGAGGACAAGAGCACCCACATGTGGCAGGCAGGTGAGAGGGCAGCCCTTCCACCTGGGGAGCTGTCGAAATGTGGTTTCCTAAGGGCAGCCCGTGCGGCGGTCGCCGCTTCCTCCGCAGACTTGCGTCCCGTTGCTGGTGCCGTGGCCACGGAGCAGGGAGAAGGCGGCTCAGCCGAGGGGAAGCTGGTTTGAAAGAACAAATTTAGTCATGGGAACTACTTACTAATTTTCTTTCGACTACTATTTATCACATTTTAATTCGATTCATTTACTATTTTTTCCAACCAGACTTAATCTAAAACATTACTTGACAACTATTTCCTTCTCATGGGATAGAACTGAAAAGTAAATGTGCAGTTCCCGTTTTTAATGTTCATAGATTATGTACATGTTATGTATACACTTAAAATATAGCAGTGACATGGCCTGGTCTCTGACATGCAAACAGCAGGTCACGGATAGTTTTGAGCTACACATGTATCTTGCACAGATATTGGAAAAAGATCTGTGAACTTTTTTACAGTTTTAACAAATATACATAAATATAAGAACATAAATTACAGTAAAATATTGACAGCATCTGAGGAACAGTCAGGCCTGCGGGGGCGGGGGCTCTGCTCAGGGACGCGCTCCTGCGCTTTTCGAAACACGGAAACACGTCGTAGGGGACCCTGGTTCCTCCTCTCCACGACCGAGTTCGGAAGCGTACGCACTTCAGCCTCGACCTTCCCGCCACAGGAAACGCGCCAGGCGTCTCGTATGCGACACAGCACCGCCACCCCCTCATGACACAGCAGTCACAACACCGACACACAACAGTCACATGATCATTCAAGTCTCTTCCTGAGAACGAAGGCTCTCCCGCGGGCGCCCCGCACGCACGGCCGCCGGAGCGAGTCACGCAGGGGCGTCACGTGTGTGCTGGCCTAAGCTGTCCTTCTTGAACGGCATAAAAAAGAACTCAATGTAAGTAAAGGAACAGGAAGCTATTTTAAAAGTAAAATGTAGCCCTTTGTACATGTTTAAAAATTCTAAATATAATTTTGTAACAGGTATAAATACGAAGGAAAGATGGTGAGAACCAGCGGACGCCTTCCGCCTGCAGGACGGTGTCCCTCCCTGTCCCTCGCTCCGCCAGCTCGGGGAGCGACTCGCGTCAGAGCGTGAGCCTTGTGCGGCCCGAGCCCCCCGGGCCCCCCGGGGCGGCCGGAGAACGCCGACTGCATCAGCGACTTCTCACCACGTAGTCTTGGTTAAGCTCATGTGGTTTAAAGCAAATCTACTAGCAGCTCTTCACGACCCCTCCCCCTCAGTTCATCGGAAAGCGTTAATACTTGCGTGAGTAATAAATACGCGACGGTCAGCGCCGGGCAGGGCGCTGGCACCACGAACACACGGCGTCCCTCTGAGCACCCCGGGAAGGCGCGCTTCCCACTCGCAGGGTCTCCTCGCGAAACAAAACCCCAAAGTAAGTTAGAATGGACCCCACAGACAGACAGGACAGGACAAACCATCTGAAGACAAGCACGTACATGAGAAGTTTTAAAAAAGCAACGAATAAACCCATCATTTGCAACCTCCGCCCCACTTCCACCTAAGTCCGACTAGTGTGTGACCGGGAGGGCGCCACGCCCCGGCACCTGGTAGCGCCCGGGTGACCCCCTCCCCGCCGGCCAGCACAGCGCTGCCACCACCTCCTGCCCTCACCGCCCCCCATGCGGCAGGCGCCTCCCGCGCCCCGCCCGCAGCGCCGGCGCGGTGCGGCCGCGAGCCCCCGGCCGCGAGCCCCCGGGCGACGGGGAAGGCGCTCCCCGGGGAGCAGAGGGGCGCGCGGGCCGCGGGCGCCGGCCCTACGCCTTCGTGGGCAGGAGCTTCTTGGGCGTCACGGGTCGCTTGGTCTGCCACAGGTGGCTGTGGATGGTGATGGCGTCGACGCTGGCAGACAAGGTCTTGGCAGGGATGTGGCTGAACTGCTTCCTGTCGGAGTTGTACTTGTAGAGCCCCTCGATCATCTTCTTAGTGATCGACTTGGGGCCGATGCCGGTCAGCTTGGCGATGTCCTCCGTCTCTGGGCAGTACGTGTACAGAGACCTGAACTGACAGCCCGAGTCCCGGAAGAGGATCAGGAAGTTGTTAGTGTCTGCCTTCTCCATTTCCTGCGGAATCGAAAAAACAAGAGAAACCCTTAAGCATGTTTCTGAGTAACCGTTACGTCTCTCGGTCAAATCGGATGGCGTGTAACCTAAAATATACATCCTGAAGAGCTGAAACACTGCGCGTGTTGCCCCGGCACAGCAGGCTCTCGTTGGAAAAGCACGGACCAGCTCACGCCGAGGCTCCGCGCGCTCCGGGGGCTGCACGCCGACCGGCTGCGGAGCCCGGCCCAGGCACACTGCCCCCCCGCACCCCACCCCACCGTCACCACCGGGCGCGGGTGTGGTGCCTTCACGAGGGAGCTTCGTCGGGAGAAAGGACACCCCGCCGCCCGCGTTCCTGGCACACGAACACCCAAATCTGGGCCGGCAATTGCTTACGACTTCCATGGTGGCGAGGCCTGGAGCCCCCGCACGGCCGGGACCGCGGCCTCCCAGTCGCAGGCAGCGACAGACCTTCCCCCTGGGCAGCCCTGGCTCCGCGGCAGTGTGGTGGGCGCTCGCGCCTGGGCGGCTGCACTCACCTCCAGGATCCTCTTCTTCTGGCCTTCGTTCACCTTCCCGGCCAGGCAGCAGTGCGCCAGCGCGTTCTGGATGATGTGCTTGTTGGACTTGGCGCTGGGCTCCTTATACAGCTTTGGTCCTGTGGCAAGAATTGAAGGACGATGGAGACCCCGGCCCCAGGCCAGTGGCGGGCAGCATCAGGTGGCAGCAGCGACCCCCGCCCCCCCGCCGCCACCAAGTGGACGTGGTCCGAGGAGCCCAGTCCTGTGCTGGGGGTTGGGGGGCCCGGGCGGCCGCCCCCAGCCACACCCAGACGGTTTGTCCGCAGAGGTGCCCCGGCGGGACACCCACCCCAGCACCGGCCGCCCGCAGCGTGGCGGGTGGGCGGGCCTGCGGTCCCCCGCCCACTCCCGCTTCCCCGGCCTGGAAGGGCTCCTGGGGAGCAGGGCGGGGGGGTGCCTGTGCGCCGCGGGTGCGTTTAATTGGACGAGGCCCCGTGTCCCCTCGCTCCTCACCCCCCAGGGTTTGGGCACTTCCACTGGCGGCTGCTCCTCGGCCCACAAACCCAGAGGCCCCTGTGCCTTTCCCGCGCCCATCACGAGGGGGAGCATGCAAAGCCCAGCCCCCCCGCCCCACGCAACACCCGACAGAGCCCCATCCTGGACGCGGGGACTGGGCCGCCCCCTCCGCAGCGTGCTGACCAGTTCCTCGGGGGAGGGAGGTCGCCCTGATCGGCAGCACCGACCTGCTCCTGGGCTACTGACCACCCCCCAGGGCGCGTCTCCAGCCACCGGCAGGTGGGCATCTGTGCACGTCCCCCCAGCGGTCAGAGGGGTCCGAGGCGGCCACTCTGCGGCGCAGGGGCATCAGCAGCTCCAATCTCCCGCCACCCCAGCGCGGCCACGGCAGGGCCGCAGGAACCGGGTGCCCTCCCTCCGCCTCCGGCGTGCCGCAGCCTCCTTCCCTACACCCCGGCTCGTCCATTGGCTGACGCCCAAGACGGCTGCCCCGCCCCAGGCTGCAGAGGACCCCACGCTCCCGTGTGGCTGGACGCCCCGCAGTGTGCAGTGCGTCTGAGCTGCTAGAGCTGCTTGCCCATTTTTAAAGCTGCAGGTTCTAAACACGGAAAACGTCTTCAGACCCAGAGCACGGCCCGGAGTGGCCGGAGCAGGAGGGGCAGGAGGTGCGGTCCCGTGCAGAGCAGCAGAGCAGCAGCCCGCGCGCCCCTCCCTGATCACGGAGGGGACTGGCCTGAGCTGAGCCCCGCGCCTGCAGACTCTGACGGGGGGAAGCCAGCGAAGCTCTGGGGGGGGGTGGGTCTGCATCTAGTCCCGCCCTGGGTTTGGCTGCCGCGCTTCCCCGAAGGCGCAGGCACGAACCTGTGTACTCTGTTCCCGAAGCCACGGACGACGTGGTGGACGCGTTCTCCCAGTCCTTCTCTCCGTTCCGGCTGCCGCAGCGACTGGGGGATAGAAAGCCTTCCACAGACTCTGATCTAAAGGAAACACAGCATTTTCACGTCTCTCTCAGAGAAAGACGACTCGGGGAGCAGAAGGGTGTAGGCAAAGCACCCGCAAAGTCCAGCTCAAGGCTGAACGACGCGCAGGCAGCGGCTCAGAGCTGTGCCGGGTGACAGCGTCAGCGGAAGCGGCTGCGCCCGCGGGGGCCCGCGGGCACGAGATGCCAGGCGCGGACCTCACTCCCCATCTCCGCTCGACCAGGGGCGGGCGACCTGCTCTGGGACGATTCTGATGGGGAGAAACTGCATTTGGTGGGCGACAAACGTGGGGGCTGGCGGGCTTTCTGCTCCTGCCGACTACGATCGGCCACGCGACCGCAGCGATCACCGTCAACATCTGTAGCTTAGGGGAAGCGTCTTATCGAAGTCAGTAATTCTACACTGGGTCTTAGCCAAAGGGCTGAGAAGCATCCATGTCAGTGATTCTAAAATTCTAAATGAGAGACAGTGGACGGTGAATAGACCCCTTCATACGCAAATTTCTTTTAACCACTGTAATAGTCAACGAAACTTATAAAAAGCTGTGAGTATGGTTCGTTTGTTGCAGAAGGTAGAATAAGGGGGGGGGGCCCCCAGACACGTGTCCAGCGACAGGTTACCTGGGCGTCCTCTTGCCCGAGTGCACACTCTCGTTGTCGCCCATGGTCAGCGACGCCAGGGAGAGGCTGGAGACTGAAAGAAACGCGGCACGCTCACGGTCCGGACGGGACACAGAGCCGAGGCCCGGCAGCGGCGCGGGGCGGGGGCGGCCCGCGCGCCAGGCGGCGCCAACTCCGGGGCCTCGCTCTCCTTAGTCTAAACACACACGCGCTTCCACACATGCATGCAGTTTATTAAAAATGGGCAAAGAGCCTGCTTTTCAGAAAGAGTGATAAAATTGCCGTTATGAGTTATTCCAAAAGGCATGCGTCATAGGAGACACACGGTGATTATGTGAAAAAAAGTGGACATAGAAGAAATTAACAGGAAAAGTAAACTCTACTTAGGTGAAAAATTGATTGATTTTCGCCAATACTGAGTCTCAAAAAAGTTTCATTGAGTAGAAAAAGGCAGACTTGTGTTATTTTTCCCCTCATTTTTAGAGTAACTACGGGAATTCTCTGGAATTCTCAACGGTCTTCAGTTTCAACAAGTTAAACACTGTCTTAAAAAGTGAGGACAAGTGTTGAATTTAACGAAGATACATCCTCTTATCTCCAAAGACTACAGCTGGGACTCCTGAGCACATCTCGGCCAGAGGAGGGCCAGGAACCCAGGGCCCAGTCCCGCCCGGGCCGCTCGTGCGGATGCGAGGGAGTGGGGTGCACACAGCACCCGTGGGGGGGGGGCGGCGCGCCCCCTGCCATTTCCCAGGCAGGAGCCGCGTGCTCAGGTGGGGGGCGGGGTCAGCCAGGCCGGGGCTTCTCGTGCCGAGCGCAGTTACCTGGGGGGCCCTGGGTGGGCGTTTTGGGGGACTCCATGTGGTCTCTATGGACGGACTTGGGGCGCGGCTTCTTCTGCTTGGCGGCCGGGGCCCGCGGCTTGAGCACCGAGTCCATGTCCTCCATGAGCTTCAGCTGCTTGCGCCGCAGGTACTCCTGCCGGATGAACTCGCGGCGCGCCCGCTCGTCCTCCTTCCTCTGGCGCTCCTCCTCCGTCTTCCGCCTGCGGGGGGGCGGCCGCCGCACCATCAGCCCCTCGACCGCAGCGCGCGATGGGGACGCTTCAGACCCGTCCCCGCGCGTCTCAAACAGTTCACTTAAAACACGACTCCGGGTTGAGGCCGTTATGATCTACACAAATGTGCCATCGACTGTGTGTGTGTGTGTGGGGGGGGGGGGGCGTGTATGTGTGTAAAACCCAGCGCAGCGATTTTAGATTCCCGTCATTTCTGGAGAACTTGAGAAATGCCTCCAACTTTGGTACACACACACAACCAAGTAATACTTGGGGAAAACAAAATTAACTTCTAAAAGCACCGAACGGTCAGCAGGAGCTCAGCGGCCTCTACCCTGCACACGCCTGAGACGCCAGCCCGCCCCGCCCCGCCCCGCCCCGCCCCGCCCCGCCCCGCCCCACGGCCCCGCCCCGCCCCACGGCCCCGCCCCGCCCCGCCCCGCCCCGCCCCGCCCCGCCCGCGCGGCCGCACCTGGTCTCCTCCTTCCTGTGCTCCAGCTCCGCTTCCAGCTGCTGCCTCCGCAGCTGGGTCTCCTTCTCCCGCCGCAGCCGCTTCTCCAGCAAGGCTGCTCGCTTCAGCGCCATGTCGTTTTCTGCCTTTTCGTCATCCTGGGGACGAATGCCATCAGAAGAAGTGAAGTGCCGCGGGCGCTCAGCTGCTCATCTTCCGCCCCTGTAACCGAACTCCTGAAGCCCCCAACGCAGCCGCATTCCAAGCCCACCCCGCACACGGACGTGCTCCAGAAACTACGGAGAAGTGAATTAAAGGGGGGAGTTCTATCAACTAACACAGGACACAAATTTATTCTGTTACGTGTTTCTAGACCTCGGAAGTTAGCAAACCACCACCAACCACAGAAAGGACAAAAGGGACAGGGTTGTTTCCCCCCAACCCTAGTGAAATAATTTAAGTGACGAGCCCATCCCACTTTTACAATTGCATTTCAATAGGATTTAAGATAAACGCTCCATAAAACAAACTCAAATCCCGGCACCTCCGTGGAGCTACCGCTGCGGTGCCGTGACGGCCCCGGCCCCCGCCCGCTCACTCCCGAGGCGGAAGGACCCGAAGGGAGGCTGCCCGCCGCCCGCCCGCGCCCCCTCGGAGCGGCGGCCACCACGCACTCCCGCTCAGAGCCCACACGTGCTCCCAAGCCCCTGTGGCTGTGTCCCAGCGGGGGACAGGGTGGGCGGGGGGCTGCTCGGCCCCTTCATGAGAAGGAAAGTGATAAACTCGCATGTGCGTCTGAGAGTTGAAAAAACCCCGTTCTTCCCTGCAGGTGATTTGGAAAACACAGAAAAACGCAGAGACGAAGAAAATGAATGACAATCAGGATAAAAACTTAAAACTACTATGAGGCTTTTCTTGTCTTCCGAACATCTATGAAAAACGTCGGCATCCCCGCCGCGAGGAGGTGGCGCTGGCCAGGGCTGCTCGGCAGCCACGGCGCTGTTCGGCGTGCCGTCCAGCATCTGCCGCGAGACCAGGACGGTGCCAGGCGCCACCCAGGGCGGTAAAGAGGCTGCTCCAGCAACAGCTGCCAGGGAGGGGCGGGGGGGGGGCGGCGTGTGTGTGCGCGTGTAGCTCTGTGTGCTTTTGGATGTGTCATCTCGCAGGAGTCCACGTGGTCAGTTTTTAAAAGACTTTAAAAACACACACAAGGGAAGATACTCAAGGTTCTTAAAGACCCCGACGCATGCTGAAGCGCAACGCCAAGCCACCAGCCCTTTACAAATCAGCATGAGGCCTGGAAGGGTTCGAACAGCTCGGCTTTTAAAGGCGTCTGGGAAAGAGGCAGCAGCAGAGCAGCAAGAGCGCAGGTCCAGGCGAGCGCGTGACCGGAGGGGCCGTCCCGGGGACCAGCCCTCCCCCGGGGCCTGCGGCCAGCGGGGACCCGCCCTGGGAGCGGGCACCTGGGCCCGCCGCGCCGACGTACCTTGAAGAAGAACCCGCAGCAGACCTTCTGGTCATCCTCGAGCTGCTGCTCATCGCTCTCCCCGTCCTCCTTGTCGGCGGGCGCGTCGGCCTGCACAGGGGGCTTCAGGTCCGAGAGGGACACTTCGATGAGGCTGACGTTCTTGGGGGCAGCGGGCGGGAAGGCAGGCCGGGGCGGGGCTCCCGCGGGTGCGCCCAGCGGGTCCTCGTTCGGGGTCAGGCGCACGGTCTCCGTGATGGGCTGGGACAGGACCTCCGAGACGGTGGACTCCAGAGGCCTCATCTCCTCGTCTTCCGGGCGAGGCACATGCTGCTCCGGGGCCTCCTTGGGGTCCAGGTCCTCCGGCCTCGCCTCCTCCCTGGGCTTGGGCTCCTTCAGCTGTGGCTCCCCGTCGTCCCCAAAGCACACGAACGAGCGCGTCTGAATGGGCACCTGACTGGGCGAGAACCTCCGCAGCCGAGGGAGGCTGTCCACCGACCGCGGGGGCGCCAGCGTGCGGGTCAGGGGGGGGATCTTCAGCTCGTTGGGCCGGGGAGTCCTTTGGTTCTTAGCGGAGGAGGACGGGCCCTTCCTGTGAGAAGACTGCGGAGACGGGTGGGAGGGGCGCGGGGGCTCAGAGAAGGGGGCGCCGGCCGGGGTCGGCCCGGCCTGCCTGGCGGGCCTGGGATCCCGGCCCTGCTTGTGCGGGGAGGGCTGGGGCGGGGAGATGACCCAGGCCTGCCGCTCCCGCATCTGCATCAGCACCTCCTGCTGCAGCGACAGGCGCTGCATCTCCTGCTGCAGGAAGTGCAGGGACGAGTTCAGCTTCTCGATGGAGCGGGTATACTCCAGCATCTCCCCCTCGTTCGCCGTCTCCTCCGAGGGGCTCGCCAGGCCCCACTGCTTCTCGGGGTCCACCGGCGTCGTGGGCGACTTGGGCCAGCGGGCGGGGGCGCTCTCCGCGCTCTCCTTGATGTCCGCCAGCGACTTGCTCCGCTGCCCGCCGGCTGGCGGTGGCTCCCGCGCGGGGTCGCCGTACACCTTCGCGTCCTCCGCCCCGGCCGCCTCCTCGCGCAGCGGGGCCGCCCCGTCCGCCCGCTTCTTCACCACGGTGAGGAAGGCCGTCCGCCCCATCTTCTGCCGCTGCCTGGTGAAGGCGGCCTCCACCTTCTTCTTCTGGGCCTCGATGGCGCGCCGCTTCTCCTCCAGCCTCATCCGCAGCTGCAGCATCTCGGAGGCCAGCAGCTGCGCGCTGTCCCGCGGCTGCGGGGGCGCCGCTCCCTCCGGGCTGCGGGCCCAGGCGACCACGTGCGGGATGCTCAGCTCCGAGCCCTCCGGGGTCGTCTTCTGGGAGCTGCTCCCGCTGCTCTTCCCGTCTGTGTGATTCAGCTTCCGGAACTTCTGTTCCGCGAAGCTGGTCATCTTGACCCCGGAGCTGGAGGAGGCGCTGCTCCCCGGCTGAGACCTGGTGCTCACGGTGCTGGGACAGGGACTCAGGGCCTCGCGGGCGCTGCCAGGGCGCAGTTCGTAATCCTGGAGGAACTTTGACGTGTCGTCCATGTCGGAGTCCAGGCTGACGGTGTAGTCTCGCAAGGACGACTCTTCATCCGCGGTCTCGGGGACGTCCTCGGAAGGGACGTGGATGCCAGTGTCCACCTCTGTGTCGTCCGTGACGGGGCTCAAGGCACCTCGGGCGTCCGTGATGGGGTCGGGGCTCGGCTGCCGCAGCTGCAGGTCCGCGTGGAGGGCGCCCACCTCCTGGCCGTGGAGGAAGAAGCCGTTGGCCACCTGCTCGGTCTGGGGCGTGTGCGGCGCCTGCTCAGTGTCGTGGATGATCTGCAGCGCCTCCTCGATGCTCGGGGTCTCGACCTGACCGCCCAGCCCGTCCAGGAGAGCTCTGTTCTGCAGGGCCCCGTTTGGGAGCTTGCAGTGAGCCTTCTCACTGGGACTCAGTTCGTTCGCGCTTAGGGCCACATGGGCCTGGGGGTCTCTGCGGGAGCCGACACTCAGCTCCTCCTCAATGCTCTCTGCCGCCTCCTCTCCATTCACGCGCTTGAAGGGCGGCTGTTTGCGGATACTTCTAGGTGCACGGCTGTTGCTCAGAGAAAGCCCTTCGTTACTGAGCGAGCGTGTGATCCCCTGGTTGGGAGCGGGTCTCGGGACCGTGTTTTCTTTGTCAAAGGAAATATCAAATGAAACTCCATGCACTGATGATCTGAAAAAATTCAAAGAGAAAATTCTTACATACTCGCCAAGGAGAAACGATTGTCTGTCACTGAACAACAAGCATTTAAAGTTACAGCCGTCCCTGGTCCCCGTGCGGACGGCCTCGCACGGCACACAGCGCGCACACCCGGCCATGTGCCGCAGGCCCGCTGACACCGGGAGCGCCCGATACGACGTCGATGCTGCGTAAACACAACGCTGTGTTGTTCGGGGGGTGACACCAAGAAAAGCTCTGTGCACACTCAGTGCAGGTTCCATCACAGGCGCACGCAGACACACAGGGCGCGTTAGCAGAGCGTAGCTTTTTTTCCCTGGAATATTCTCAACCCAAGGGTGGCCGAGTCCATGGATGTGGATCCTCCAGATACGGATCCCACGGGTGGGGGGCTGACTTTGCGATCAGACTGCCCTCAAGGTCAGGACCACATCGCTACCTTCCACATGTAGCCTCTTTGATCTGCCACCCGCCTATGTTGCCCTTTTCAAATTTAGGTACTAAGTCAAGTCTGTTATAACCTGGCTAACAGCAAAAAAGCAAACGAGCATGTCTTGGTAACGTGAATGTACTAACACAGTTCTCTGTGTTTACCTTTTCTCTTTGGGCCACGTCCCTATGAAGCCATCAACATAAGACATAGATGAAGACCTTCTAATTCCTCCTACAAATACAAAAAAAAAAAGTCACTGAAATTGTGTAAAAAATGTTCCCTTGACAGTAATTTACCAGGTTTCACACATTCAAGGATTCATTAACAGCACTACAAAGTAAGTAGGTGCATATGGGGAGTATCAAGAAAAGCAAGCAAAGACGACCAAATCGGTCTTGCGGTGTGTTCAGAACATCTTCCAGAAGACAAGGCTCGATTGTGTGTTTGCTCCCGTGCACTCTCCAGCGTTTCCCAGCGAACTGTTTCAAACCCGCTACCTGAGGCTGAAGGATGAGCTTGGGAGCGCGACGGTCCAGAGGGCAGGCGGCAGCGTGGAGACGTGGCCCCGTCGCCCCTGCAACGCAAAACCGACGCAGCGTGTCAGTCGATGAGCGTCAGCTCTTTCAGTGGACGGCTGCCGCCGCAGCCGACACTGCCACCTCTGAGTCTCCGCCCTGCGCTTCTCCCTCTCCCTCTCCCTCTCCCTCAGACACACACACACACACACACACACACACACACACACACACAGGGAAACATAACGCATGTGTCTCTACCCATTTTGTCTTTTGGTCAAAGAGCCTGGAACACTTTCACCTATAGCTCGATGTCCTTGGGAGAGATGATGGGAACGATATTCTCTTTTCACAGATACAGAAACTCAGAACTAAAACGGCTAAACGAGAGTGGTCAGTCCGCACCCTCTGGGCGTCCTGAGCCGGGGGTCTGCTGGCGGTCGGGCGGGACGGGCCCGGGAGCCGCCCCGGAGCCCCGACGCCACGGCCTGGGGCGCCCTGTCGGCTCTCAGCTGGCCCGCCCTGGCCCGCTCAGGCGGGGACGGGGCCGCCTACGTCTCAAGTCACAACGACGGCTGGCCAGGATGGACGTCCACTCGCCCTCGGTTTTCGCCTTGGCCGGGGGAGGAGGCGGGTGACACAGCCAAGCGTCCCCGCCCCAATCTGTTGAGAGTCAGTTGGGGGGCAGGCGACAGTGACTCCCACACCTCACACACGTTATCTTTCGCCCCATGAAGACGTCAGCCAGCAGGTGAAGTAGCTCAGGCAGAGAGAGACAAATACTGCGCGGTCTCACTCACACGTGGCGTCTAAGGACACCACACACGAGGAAACGAAACAAACACCGAAGGCCCGAGGGAGGCTCCCAGGAGGGCAGGGGCAGGGAGTGGGCGAGACGGGGGAGGGGCACCCAGTCACCAATGTCCTGACAAGTCTGCGCGGTGACCGACGACCCCTAGGCTCAGGGGGATGATCCCACCGCGAGGCATAAAATGCCAAATCGCCGCACCGCACGCCTGGGGCTAACATAACCGACGCAAGGCTGCATACCAGCCACCCTTAAATAAAAAAGTCTCCCCCCGCGCCCCAGGAGTTCCCTCTCATCTGAACACTTCTCAGTTATCAACGAGCCACGCATCAGAAGCTCGGTGTCAGGCCGCCTCTTCGGGCCTTAGAACACACGCTCCTACTTTCAGTCTGACTCGTATCGGCCTGTTTCCGGCACATTCATCTCTCAGGGGTTGCGCGCCGATTCCGGGGCGAGCAGCCGGGACGGCCTACCTGGCGGAGCCGTCCGTGGGGCTCCCTCGGGGGGCTGCGGGCGGGTCGGGCGCGGGGTCGGCTGCAAGATTCGAAAAACCCACGTTACACATGTAGCACGTTTCCAGTGTTATTTCAAGACTTCTAGACCACAAATAAAAATGTAATCTCAATTTCTCTTACTAGTTAGAGAATTCAGAGCATATTTAAAGCTACCTTCTTAAGTAATTTTCATAAGGTAAAATTTTCTTTTAAGTTTTACTTCTTAAAGTGTTCTTCTGGCTCATAAAACCTCACTTGATTAAGGCTAATTAGGGCGGAAAAGCCTAACAAAATAACTACAGATAATTTAAAATAAAAATAAATCTTTTTGCTAAAGCTTTCACAGAACTTTAGTTACGTAAGTCCATGTTTGCTTCCTCATGGAATCGTTGGTATTTTGGAAATCAGAGAATTCCATGGGTTAGTAATTAAACCCCCCCCCCCCCCGCCCCGGTATAGTTTTACACCTCGGTAAGTAACTCCGGGGGAAGACCCATTTACTTTTGGCCCTTGAGACCTAACGTGACAGCTGCTGAGCACCTCGAGCAGGCGGCTTCCCGAACGAAACCGCAGAGTGCGCGGGAGAGTCTGCGCCGACAGCGGGAAGCTGCAGGGCCGCTCGGGAGGGGTCTCGGCCGCCGCCGCCCGCTCCGCTGTCAGAGCCTCCCCGCATCTCTCTCTCTGAGTGCTGGGGGAGGACAGGGCCGTGGAGAAACGGGAGACCGTGGGGGCAGGAGGAGAGCACGGGAAGGGCCGGCCGCAAGCCGAGCGGGAGCGGTGGCCCGGGGGCTGCGCGTGGCGTCTAGGGTCACTCTCCCCTGAATCAGGCCTCTGGCCTGACAGTGGACGTCAGTGGAAAATCTGTTTTGCTTCAGAGCAGATGCAGGAAGATTTTTGTTCTTCATTTCTAGGAATCTTCACGACAACCCCTTTGTTTCATGAGTTGTCATTACGGCCATCAGTACATCATGATGCGCGTCCCCACAGAACCTATAGGGTGTGTGTGTCTCTCCTTTTTACGGTTTAACGGCAAGTTCGAGCCATAGGTTAAAGCCAAGCTGTGACTGGAGGGGGTTCTGGGTGACGGTGTTAAAGGCTCCGGCCCCCGCCGGGCACACAAGCCGGGGACGGGCGAAAGGTGCCGACGGAAGGAAGCGAACCAGCCGCGCAAGCCAAGAGCCCGCAGGACCGGGCGGCTGCGCACACCCGGCCCCCCCCCCCCCCCCCGGTCCCACGCAGCACGTGGCGCTCCGAGCCGCCGGACGCTCAGCGCACGCGCAGGCCCCGGCGGGGGGCGGGGCGGGGGGCGCAGCAGCAGCCGGGCGCCGGCGGGGGACGCACCTCCTCGGGGGCCGGCGACGCGGGGCTGCACGAAGGACGGCCTCACGACCTCGAACCACCAGAAGAGCTCCGCCAGGAACACCAGGTAGTTGCTCTGCACCAGAGGGAGGAGAGGCAGGTCAGGGGGCGGCGCCGGGAAGGGGCCCCCAGTGAGATGCAGGGCTGAGCCCCGTCCGTTCGTTAAAACAATGCGGACATAAGCTGGTGGCGCCCCTCGGGGAAAACCGCAGGGAGGCTCCTCGGAAAATTTAAAGCAGAACGACCACGGGACCCAGCAAGCCTGTCTCTGGGTGTTTATCCAGAGAAAAAAACCTGGGCCTCAGAGCGCGCGCTGCGCTCCCCTGTTCACGGCAGCCTCGGCGTCCGCCAGCAGACACAGACGGGGAGCTCCCCCCCGGAATGTCAGCCAGCCACCAGAGAGAGGGAACCCCTGTCGCCTCCAACAGTGGGGGCAGAGCTCGAGGACGTCCCGCTAGGTGGAGCGTGTCAGGCAGAGAAAGGCAGACGCTGCAGGAGCTCATGCGTGTGGCATCGGAGGCGGCCCGACTCACAGAACCGGAGCCGAGCGGCAGGTGCCAAGGGCGGGAATGTCGGAGGGAGGGCGAGAGCCTCCAGGGGTGAGGAGGGTGAGTTCCGGGGCTCTCCCGATCACAGGGAGCCATGCTGCGTTATATACCCGACGGCTGCGCGGGGAGCGTGAGCGTCTCACCGCAGAAGAGAAATGCTCATTGTGTAACGTGATAAAGGGGTTAGCGCTACGGTGGCCATCGTTTTCCGCGCCTCCAACTCACACCCCGTTTTATGTCAATTACGTCTCAAGTACTCTAAGCACCTCGGTAGGCTAACTGTCCTACGATAGTTGTACTGTGTTCGGCCACAAGATGTCAGCAAAGAAAGAAGCCATTTTCCCGGCGGATAAAGCTTGGGAAGATCATTTTTTCCCTGAAGTTGTGAAGGTCAAGCAGGAAGACACCTGCTGCCTTGTTCCAGGAGCGACGCCCAGGCAAGGTCCTCGTGAAGCCCTCCCCTGGCCGAGGCCCTCCCGCCATTGTGCCCGCGCCAGCCAGAAGCAGACACAGGGAGGCTTGGCCTCCCCGCCACCCCCCGCCGCCCCACAGACGGAAGCACAGCTAAAAGCCTTGTGTCTGGGCTTCTATTGACGACTTCTCATGCATCGAGGTGTGTATCTAGATTCGCACACGATATAAAAAGGATTTTTCAAAAAGTAAATGGCTTGCATCACACGACACAGAACGTTCGCTGCTGTTCTCCCTGAACACGCCTGGGAGGGCTTTCCGTGTGGGCAGAAGTGCCTCTGCCGCCTGCCTTCAAACGGCTCAGCTGCATCACGAAACACAGGCGCGGCGTCCCCAGGAGGAGGCCCTGCTCCCGGCCCCTCGCTGCCCGCACGGTCCGTCCTCTGAGGAGGCCCAGCAGCTCCCCGCGCCCCCGGGGGGACGGGAGTGCACGGCCCACCCCCTCCGAAATCCTGGAGGTGAAAGCGAATGTGACGGCCAGCTGCCCCGCTTCAGAGGCCAGATGTCGTGACATGTTCGCGTGAAGCCGCAGCGGTGGTTCCATGACTTAGCAAAGCGCACAGCACACGACCACCGCCCTCCCGGGGACACGTCTCTCTCTCGCGTGGGTCTGCGCTGAGGAAACACCTCCCTCTGGACGGTGCCCAGGCCGCGGCAGCCTCCACACCGGGGGTGAATCGTGTCCAGCGGGCGTCCAGGTTCAGAGCGGAAACAACCGGCTCCAGGGGTTTATGGAGGCCGCTTTTTCCTTGGAGATGATAGGAGCGGTGCTTAAATGTTTTAACTGGCAAGTGCCAGAAAAGGCATTAATGAGACCCATGTGGAAATAACATTCCCTGATTTAGATTTTGATAAAAATGGGAAGGAGCGAGCCTTCCAGCATGAGGGTAACAGGCTCTGTGCTGACTTCCAGCTTAGCACTGCGACAGAGAAGCCCCTTGCACCTGTGCACCCGGAAAAGCTAGCAGCAGCCGGGCCCCACCATCCACTTTCCGAGAGGCCCCGGCGGCCGGTCTGCGGGCCGCCTGCTTCCGCGCGAGGGGCGGGCGCACCTTGATGGAGGCGGCGGCGTAGAGCATGTCCTCCAGGGCGAAGTGGCAGCACTGCGCCAGGTGCTCCCGGCAGAACCGCTGCACCAGCTGCAGGTTGTACAGGCTGTCGGCCAACGACATGGTTTCCTTCAGACAGACATCTTCAACAGGAAAAGAGCAAGGTGGTGACTCCAGGCTGGTTCCGCGCACCTCGGACCCTCATTAGCACTCGGGACGCACACACAGGGCGGTCGGGCTCCGGATACGGACACCCGCTCAGCGCCTCCGGGCCACACGCAGACGCCTGCGCAGCTCGGGGACGGTCTGCAGACACTCACCCTCCAGCCTGACCACCCCAGGGCAGTAGAAGTGGATGAGGGCGGCCAAGGCACAGCCGTCCGCGCCGTCTTTCAGCAGGTTCTCCACCAACGGGATGCAGGGCGGCTGCTTCAGCAACGTCTGCTCTTTCCTGTAACGAGCCTGCAAGGCAACGGGAGAGCGGAGACTCGATCAGTGCTAAGCGGCACACGGGGAAACCGCCCGGCACCGCGGTCGGAGGCACCGCAGCCCTAACACAACCGGACGAGAGAAACAGGGACGGCGTGTGCCCTGTCCTGAGCGACTCGGCGTTCTGCCTGCCCAGTCGCACGTGCACACAGCGGCTCCCAGGCTTGTGGCCGGCGCGCCCCCGCACCGCTGGCTTAGGGGACAGGACACGTAGCCAAACCGCTTCACCACGGCTCTGATGGGGGCTCCCCCTCCATGGCAAGCCCGTCCACGGAGGGCGCCCAAGCAGCGCGGCAGCGAAGACCTCTAGGGTCAGGGGTCGGGGCGGGCGTTTGGACCCCAAAGGCGGCCGGGCAGCACTGGGAACAGTGCCCGGAGGCCCTCGGACTGCGTCCCAGGGGACGCTGGCTTGTCATCCGAATGTTCTGGTGGCAAGAGAAAGCGTGACGACTCCGAAGCGGGAAGAACCGCCCGGCCGAGGCGGCACTGCCCGGGGGACAGGTGAGTGCAAGGGGCCCTGCGCCCACAGGGAGCGGGGAAGCCTGTCTGGGGAGCGCGGCCTGACTGCCCGCGACTCAGAGGCCGCTCTCCAAGGAGGCGCGCGCAGCAGCTGAGACGAGCTCTTGACTCAGACAGCCCCGGTTCAGACGCTGGCTCGGCCACTTGTCAGTGCTCACATCTCAGATGCCCCACCTGTGACATGGGGATAAGCAAGGCACCTACCTTCACGAGGCCACCGGAGGACCAACCACGCCGCCGCCACAGGCACCGCGTACACCACCAGGCACGCGGCAGGCGCTGCCTAAAGCCATGAGCTCTGCCCAGGCCACCAGAGCTGACGCTGAAGGGTCTCATCAGCAGAGCGCATGGCTACAGTGGTCACCATTACTTAAAGAGGCTTTTTAAACAATCAAAACTAATTTTTCTTCTAACTTCATCTGACTGCTCGCCTCTATATTTTATAATTAAAATATAATTATGAAATAAAATATTCTTGTGAAACTAAAACTAAAAAAATAATGTACTAAAAGAGAACATGAGCTCCCTGGTGGCGCTGGAGTCCCTGCGGGTGGTGACCCACAGCAAAGCAAATGCACCCACGAAGAGGCCGCTCCTGTCTCTCCCGCTGGCTGCCCGAGAGCCAGGCTCCGGGGGCGTCCGCCCGCAGGCCCTCAGGACGCCCGTTCTTGCTTGCCGGGGCTGGACGGGCACCTCCGTGGAAGGGCAAGCCCCACACTCACAGAGTGCTCACACTCAGGAGACCCCACGTGCGTGCACGGCGTAAATGCTTTCCCTGGTCGCGGACGGCACACAGAGCTTAGGAAACCGCCTCTGGCCGACAGTTGAAAACTCAACCCTGAGAAAGGGGAGCAGGCACGGGACGGGGCGAGGAAGAACTAGCCGGGAGCATCGGCTTCAGGCGCCCGTCCTCCCGCCTGCTCAGCGCAGACCAGAGCCTTCCCCCCAGCAGGAGACAGGGCGGCCTCTGCTCAGAAACCGTCTGGCCCGCCCGCTTGCCCCGCGCCCCAGGCGTCTGGGACGGCGCTGGGCGCTGGGCGCTGGGCCGAGCCGGCCGCCCAGGGCCGCAGACAAAGGACCAGCCAGCGCCCTGTTCCACCGCATCTCCGCACGAGGGGCGCACGCGTGGACACACACAGAGACACATGGGCACATGCTCATGAACTCATGCAGGCACAGACACACGGGCACACGCGAGCGTGCACACAACACATGTGTGCATGGCTTTGGGGCATGAGCGGTGAATGCCGACGCTCAGAGCAGACGGCCAGAGGGTCGCGGGCGGGGGCATGCCAAAGCGCCTCAAGGGACCTAACTGCCCCCCCAGCCCAACCCTGGAAGAGCCGCTCTTCAGGGCGATGGGAATGCAACACACAGCGCCCAGCACTGGTCAGAGTGCGGAGGACGTCGCCTGCTCATCACATAAAGTGTCCCCTACAGTTCAGGCTGGAGAGGAAATGATTCTTTCAAAACACGATCTTAAAATACAAATAATCTACACATGCAATTCATATCACTTACTAATGTTATTAAAACTAATGAGAACCTAAACAGTCATGCTTTTTCTTTTTTAACCTAGTCACTGAGGCTCTGTGACCACAAGCAAACGATGCGCCCACGCGAATGACGCTCACAGCCTCCGCCCCACACCTCGGCTGCGTTTCTTAATCTACTTCACATCCAGTCCACGCAGTGACTGACAGATTCACACGAAAGGACTGTACCAGCAAGTCACAAACAACAATGCCATGCTACGGTCACGGTTCTAGAGAGCAAACTGCAGTCGCCAGGCAAACTTACAGGAACCAGTTTCCAAAACCATTTGGAAGGAGACTTCAGAGGAAGCAGCAGAAACAAAGGGAAAGGGAAAATTCATCAGAATTATTTTCAATTAAGTTACGGTCAAATTTCTGACAGTGGAGTTCCACATTTATAGTTCCCATAACACTTTTAAATGCCAATTAATAGGTTAACTCAAAATGTTTATTTAAAAAACAAATATGTATGGCTGGAAATAGATTACAACCCATGAAAAAGGAATCCATCACTTCGTACAGATGAGAGAGAGATGACAGACGAGGGCAGGCTTGCTCACAACAGACCCTAACGCACGAACGTGGGACAAACGATGGCATGAGGGGCCGCCCTGCGGTAGCCACCACGGTCGCGCTGGCCCAGGTAGGCGCCGCCAGCGAACACCAGCGTGGGGGTGGCAGGGAGGGCGCGGCGGGACGGGGCAGTCACGGGACTTGGCGGAGGCTGAAATCACGGCACCGGGGCAGCGACGGCCCTTCTCCCAACCCTCCTTACGGACGCTGCTTGGAGAAAGGGCCGCGGTACCACCTGAGTTTCTTAATGTTTGACACGCCAAGCTCCTCACTGAGCTGCACCAGCTGAGTTGGTAATAAAACAGGGATGTGGTCGAGATCGGGGTGTCGTGTTACGGGTAAAGGGTGTGTTGGCAATAGGTATAAAGAAAGAAATTAATAAGCGTTGGCCACAGAAGTCCACACAAGGTGAATTGTAGTTATAGAACAGAACCTTACAGGTAGAATTCTAAACAAAAGTTACCTGATTTAGGCAGGTCCGGTCCTCACAATTATTTCACTGAAATGATAGTACGAAGAAGGAACCCACGGTAAAGCTAAGAGTCAAACCAAATGAAGCATCGGAGACTGAGTCCCCGGATCAGAGCTTCAGCGTTTGCTCTACATACTTATAAACGCATGAGACAGACAGCAGAGTCAGTGACGACGTTAGAGGTTAGAAATTAATGTTCCCAAAGAAGGCTCCAAAGAACACTAAGTCCTTGGGATGTCAGTACGTCATTCATAGAAGAGGTCAAAGATCAGATGTGCTCGGGAGGGAGACGGACAGGTGTCCTAACTGGGCCCTGACTGTCCGGAAGGGGCCGGACCCTTCTGAGAGGGGCCCAGGCGAGGCAGCGCGTCCCAAACGGGTTCGATGTCAGAACCCTCGTCTCGAATAGCACCTCCGGTGCTGCCTGAGGAAGCGGAGCTAAGCACAAAGTGGGTTACGGTGCCGAACGGCTCGGGTCCTGGGGTCAAGGTGGAAACCAGGGCGGGCTGCGGGGGTTCGGCAGTGCCCACCGCCTGCTGCGCTGGGCGGCGAGCTCTATTTTGAGCCGAAACCTTAAAATGAAAGGCAACCAGAGCAAGGGGCGTGGCCTCCATCCAATTCCCAGCCCCCTGGGAACGCCTCATCAATATTTCTCTTTGAAAAGAGGCGAATGTGACACTGAGTAGACACATATCTTTAATGTTTTGAGAAATTCTGAACATAGTTTTGCAAACCCACGAGTTTATAGCTCTTTCAAAAACCATCCAAACGGCCTGCTGACCAACTCCCAAATGCGCCCCTCGCTTCCGACCGAGCATCCGCTCCCGCGTGTCCTCAGGGCCCAGCGCCCCACTTTGCAGACACCCCCGTGCGGCTGGCCGGGGCTCCGCTCACTCCCGGCTGCTGGGAGCTGGCCAGGCCTCTCTGTGGGAGCTCACGGCGGCCAGCCGACTCCGTTCGGGAACCTCTCGTGTTGGAGCTTAACATTCGCTAACGTAGCGAGAACAGAAATTTTGAGAATCATGTTAGTCCCAGAATTTAGGAGCCATTTAATTTCTACAGATAGAGAAAATGAGGCCTGGGGAGGCCCGGTGCCGCAGGCGGGTCAGGACGTTCCCTGTGGCAGGACCAGCCTGCCCACCAGCCCAGCGCGCGCTTCGCCGCCGCACTCTGTGCAGGCACTTGTGGGGAACGGACGCGGGGCCTCGCGTCATTAGCCGGAAACCTGAGGCTGTTAATGCAGAGCTGCCGGAGCCAGCTCACAGGTGCGAGATGCTCAAGGAACTCATACCAAAAACTTTTTTATCTGACGTTCAAATTTAGCTGGGCCTCCTACTTCAGACTCAAAAGGAATATGAAAAGCAAAAAGCAATTTGGAAAAAAAAAATAAAGAAAACCACATTCGTGAACTTGCGGACTCTCCTCGGATGTGGTGCTCCTTCCCACGCCCACCTCTGAGGACGCCGCCGGACCCACCCCCCGAAGCGTGCGCCCGAGGGCTCGCCGCCTGAAGAAGAGCCCCCCGACCTCGGTCCTGGCCGACGCTGCCGGCGCCCAGTGCGCGCGCCCCCACCCACCCCCCGCGAGCACACGTCTCACCAAGGTGGCAGCTGGGAAGGAAGCCCCGTGCCCTGAAGGAGCCGGCCGGACGAGGACGGGAGGGAGGGGGCTGCTCCCACCGACTGCGGGGGGCGGGGGGCGCAGACTGCCTGCCCACGGCCCAGCGATAAGGCAGAGCAAGTCACTCAGCTCTCGTCCCCGAAAGGAGGGGAGGACCGAGCATTTTGGTTTTACAGGAAGACTATGGGAAATTAACACTATTTTCACAACGATTCTAACGATGGGAAACGGGATAAAAGCCATTTGAAAAGGCAGGCATAAACGCCATTCGTGCTGAAATTAACACATGTGCTGACGCTGACCGTGGACAGTGACGCAGGCTCCCTGTCCCCGCCCCGGCCCGGGCGCTGAGGGTGGCACGGGCGGCGCCGTGGGGCGCGGAGCTACAGGAGGGTCCAAGCGGCGCCCAAGCCCCATCCCCGCGGGTCCTCCGTCAAGGCCACCGACTCCCTGTGCTCGGAACATGGACGGCGTCTGCTGTCCACAGGAGCGAGGTGTGCAGGCTCCACGTCGCGCACAGTCCCCACTGAGCTCGGCACGTGCGCACACCACCACCAAGGGGACCCTCACGCAGTGTGACAGCCCCGCGGGGAAGGGCGTCGGCGCGACGCGGGCCGCCGCCCTCTCGCCTCGTCCCGGCCTGCCGGGACCAAAGCCGGGCGCCGCGTTACGCCTGCCTCCAAAGCCAGGGCCCAGCTCGAGGGGTGGGAGGGCGGGGCTCAGGGAGGGCTGGGGGCGCGGGCGCAGGAGGGCCAGAGCTGAAGGTGGGACCAGAACGGGAAGGTGGGGGGGCCAGAAAGGCAACTTCCGTTCCCATGTAACTGTGGGGAAAGGCCGTCGAGCGCGCACAGCGTTCCCCGGAGCGAGGCCGTAAGCTCGCGGGGGCCAACCCCTGCGGAGCCCCAACAGCAGGTGCAGACACGGCGTCCGGCGCCTTCCACGGAGCGCCTGCGCCGGGGCTGGAGCCCCCCTGCCCCGCCTGCCCGCCCGCCTGCCTGCCCTTCCCGCCGCACCCGTGACCGCGGCCCCACAGGGGCACAGGGCCGGTGCAGCAGGGAAGACGCTCAAACTCGTCCAAACGGAAACCACAGGCTCTGGGGAGAGGTGCCGTCTCATAGCTCAATTCAGATGCTGTCAGACACTGTGAAGGGCTCGCACTGGAATGCATTTTAGAAGATGGGAAGATAAGCTCTGTTACAGGAAATGCTTTTGGTCTTAGTATATGACAAACAACCAGTTTTCAAAGCAGAAAACTGTGAATGCCTGTTCATTCCTTTTAAAGAAAGGACCCATGTTCATGTTTCTTCTTTCCCCACAGCATAACCAGACAGACAACCTACGCCTCCTGGAAGACGATCTTAAAGGCTGGTCTCGCCACGTCATTACGAGGCTGAGGCCCTGAAGCTGTGTTCTTGGTGTTTCGTTCATTTGACCAAAGTCAAAACCATTATTTCTGCCAAAAGAACGTCAAAATGAGCTCCAGCCATTAACAATCTTTCCAATTGGATGGGGCATCATCCAATTCACCTCCAGTGCATGCTTCTACCTACCTGGTGTCTACGGCGGAGCTGGAGGTCGGTTACCACGGCCAAACAGTGATTTAACGACCACAGCTGTGAACGCGCCCCAGAACGGCAGCACGTGGGGGTGAACGCCCGCAGAGGCACCACCCTCCCTGCGAGGTACATACCTTTTGACCTCCCGGGGCTTCTACAGGGTGATGTTCTTTCAATTTCTGCTCTTGCTCTATTATGTCCTTCAAGTGTTCATTTACCTTAAAATACAAAAACATTCACTTGAATTTATATTCAAATATAATAAAATAACGCGCACCTTAAAATGGATGTGGTCAGATTTCTGATGCCAAATATCAGCACCACTTAAATGAACATTTCATTTTCCCAACCAGAAAAAATTACAGGATGCTATATTTAATGATCTAAAATGAACTTATGAACTTACTAAACTCTACTGAACAACTAACTATGTATCGTGAAAGAGGCTAGAGTGCTAGAGGAAAGAAAGGTACTCAGTAACTTGTTTTAATGCTTAGGAAGCCATAAAACTTCGGTAAAAATTGCACAATCTCTTTTAGGACAGCACATGAAAATCAATGCGGCCGAGCTCCTCGGCTGTAATTCGGACGCGAGCCGGGTCGCAGTGGGCTTTCGTGCGTGGCCAGGAGGCCGCCGACAAACCCCACGACACGCGCCTGCACACAGGCACTTTCTGAGGCGGCCCGCCTTATTTCCCAGCAGACCGTCCAAGTGGCTCCATATCCAAAAAGGTTAAGAGACTGTCTACCTGGTGCATGAGACATTTATTGAGAATTTTTAGACAATTTTGGATTTTGAGTTAATGATTTTAAGGTCACTTGCAATAATAAATAAAAGTTGAAATTAATAATGGCGCTCTAGAAAATATTAATGCCATTATTGCCCACTATAACTCTAACCTAAATCAGTAACTTTCTAAACTCTTCTACTGCCTAAATTTCAGTTCAGCAGCTAAAGAAACGACTGGCGGATTTTAACTCAGGACAAACGTAATCCACAACGGCAGGCGTCTTCTCCAGGCGCGACGCTGCCCGGGGTGCTCGAGGACGCTGACGACGCCAGGGGGCCGTCAGGGAGCCCGCCCCCCGCCCGCAAGGACTGCTCCGGGAGACGGCACATTCGACAGGACAAGGGTCGCGCTTGAAGCCTCCACTCCCAAGGTGCAACCTCCGTCATTTCTAGACCTCGGAGCCTCTGTTGCTCGTGTGAACAGAGCCCACTTTGTAAAGGGGCTTGTTACGGGGCTGCGGCCCCCACGGGCCCCCGAGCGTGGGCAGGACTGAGGGGCCGGCCGTGTCCGAGACTGTGTGAGCGCAGGTGCGCACTCCCGCCCACCCGCAGACGCTCTCGCCGGCTTTGCTGGACGGCGGCCAGGGGGCACCGCCCCACGGAGACGCGCACCGCAGGGCACTGAGGGCGGCCTCTAGCCACCACCACACGGGACAGACCCTGCGACAGAGGCCGCACCCGGGCAGGGCCCGGGCTCCTGGCCGCACTGCGGTGGCGGGGATCAGTGAGCGAACCGTGGAGGTGACGCAGGCGCGCCGTCCGGCGTGGCCGGGCCTGGGGGCATCGTTACACCCCAGGAGCCGGAACCGAGAATGAGAGGTGACGCACACGATGTCCCAGGCAGAGGGCAAGGTACAGGCGGACTCCACAGAGGCCACCGCCGTCACCTACACACATGTCCCCCGGTAACAGCGGGGCGAGGTGTCTGTGAGGCTTTAACAAACCTGTGTCGAAACGCTTCCAGCTCACAAGCTGGAATAAATCTCCTGAAACACCAGCATCCCGGCCGTTGGGGCGGCCGAACGTTGACCACTCCCCAGCCCCTACGGCAGGGAGACCGTAAGAAAACTACGAGGAGCGGTCATTGTGCTACCTAACCCACCCAGGCACACCAAGCAGGTCCGCGAAGTAACTGTGATCCTCACACCAGTTCCCAAACACCAGCTACCAGGCTCTGCCCCCGGCGCCGAACCACGACGTCGCCCTGCAGCTCAGGAGGAACGCGAAGGCGTGTCAGGGGCTCCTCGCCGAGACACGGGGCCCCCGGGAGCGACAGAGCCCAGCACTGGCTCTCGCAGCGTGACTGCGTTACAGAGAAACGGGCTAAGGTGATGTCAATTTTCAGATCGCCATTAATTTTAAAACAGACACATGCTTTTCGTTTTTTCATTTTAAAATGCAAAATAGTAATGTGTCTCCTTGCCTTCGTGTACACCGAAAGGTAGTCGATGTTTTCACCTGCTCCTGAACAATACAAAAACGTCAGAAAGGCTTTCACTGAAATAGACTCTTCCATGTCATTTTACCTGGAGTCACAGTCCTTTCTAAGGGCCTCGGAATCAGACTCAACGATGACTTAGAGCAACACTCGCCCGTGGGGGGCACCGATCCCTCCCCACGCCCCCTCCTTTCCTCTGGGTCCCAGGTCCTTCTGCTCCAGCTCAAGCACCCCCTACCTTGTTGATCCAGTACATGACAGCGTCCTCGATGTCATAGGGCAGGTCGGTGGCCTGAAAAAAGGCCGAGTACCGCTGCGCACACGCCACCACCTTCTCGACGCTGACCATCTCCACGGTGTAGGCCATCATCAGGGCGTCGACCATCGCCAGGTGGGCGCTCTGCAACGGGCGAGAGCGGCGTTACACGCGGCGCGGGCGTTGCGGTGGGCGCCTCCGGACCATCCGGCGCAACATCCCTGACAGCAGCAGCGGAAGCGAAGGCGACGGGAGCCCAGGCCCAACGAGAAAGCACGAACCGCACCCGAGTCGCGTGCGGTCCGGCCACCCCCCGGGGACACGTGCGGGACCCTCATCTGCGGCTCAAAGGGGGCTCCTCCCCGGTGTTCCTGAGTTTGGGTGATGGCGGAACGGGGACCGAGCCACGCGACAGTCACACCGCGGTGCCACCTCCCCCGCCCCCAGCCGCTCAGAGCTCCGCACTGCCCGCGCCCCCGCCGCCACACCCCGCCCGTCCCCCGCCTCCCGCCCCCGCTCACCCGCGCGGCACGGCTCGCCCTCCCAGGGCCTCCCACGGTCGGTGTCTGGCTTTAAGTGCGTAAGTGGCCCCTGACCGCCACCGTCGCGGAGTCCGTGTGGAAGGAAGGGCTACACGTCTGGAACATGCTCTTGCACGAGGCTCTGCGCTCGCCTGGGGGGGCGGGGCAGGGAGGACCCACAGAGCCTCCGCCTCTGGCACTACCGACCTGACGGTGCCAAAGCAGGGGTGACAGGCTGCGACCAGGCACGCCTCGTGTAAGGGAGGCCCCCGGGCCGGTCGTCAGAGGGAGGCTGACGGTGCAAGGCCGGCTGTTCCCTGACCGGCCCCGCTGCCCTGGTGGGTCCCACCCCCAGCGCCATCCGCAAGGAAGGAGACCCCGGGGGGGGGGCAGGCCTGCGGTGCCTAGGGGCACGGGCACCCGCCACGCAGGTCTGTGGAAACCGCTGAGACCCCTGGGGTGAAGAAGGGCTGCAAAGCATCGCGAGAAACCCAGTGCAGTAGGGAGAGCAACCCCTCCCCCAGCACACGGAGCCCCCAGAGGCCGCTCGCAGGGCGCTGGGCCTCGGCTCCCGCAGCCCGGGGAGTCCTCGCAGCCGGGGCGGCAGGGCCGAGGCTGGCGCGCCAGGGAGCCAGGGCACTGGGTGGCCTCCTGGCCCCCACCTCCCCTTGCCCCCGCGGCCCTGCTTCGACCCCGCGCTCTCCGGGCCCCACCCCCGACCAGGGGAACAGGGGCCGCGCTCCGGTCAGAGGCGCGAGACAGGACACAGGCGGCGTGCGGAGGGCCCGACACCCAGCAAACCTCGACAGGAGAGCCACAGGGAGCCGGGGCCGCGCGGGCAGGCGCAGGGCGGCCAGACCTGCGCGTGCCGTGGCCCGTGCGATGTTTTCTTTCACAGGGGAGGAAAAATAGGCCACCACCACCCCCAACCCCCGCAGAGAAACCAGCACGAGGCCTGAGTCCATGGTCCTGGCCCCTTGGGGAAGTTTAAAGCCCTTCACCTGGGGCTCGTGGCCTCCACGCCTCACACCTGAGCCTCCATGTATCCCCACATCTCACACGTGAGCCCCCACGCCTCACACCTGAGCCTCCACCTCTCGCACGTGAGCCTCCATGTATCTCCACGCCTCACACCTGAGCCCCCACGCCTCCTACGTCGCGAGCAGCACTGGCGGTGCCCAAGAGGACATCCCATGCTTTACTTATCGAGCGGCCCGCCCACTCAGAGCACACAGAACGCGCCGTCTCTTTTTGGTGCTTGTTAAAAGGAAGCACTTCAAAACAAGTTTTTTGTTTATATAGTGATGGCTGTTTCAAAAAAGATTACATAGCAGACATTAGTTTATAAGTCACATGTGAAAGTATCATTTCAATGTAATCTTTTTTTAAAAGATTTTATTTACATTTAGAGAGAGGGCAGGGAGGGAGAAAGAGGGAGAGAAACGTCCAGGGGTTGGTGCCTCTCGTATGTCCCCTACTGGGGACCTGGACCCGCAACCCAGGCCTGTGCCCTGACTGGGAATCGAACCCGAGACTCTTTGGTTCACCGGCCGGCACTCAGTCCACTAAGCCACACCAGCCAGAGCTGAAAGTCAATATCATTTCATATCACACATACTACATACATACACATTTACTTAAATAATTGAGTTTTATAAATATCAACTCTCATTTCCTATATTAGCAAAAGCTGGCTTACAGTTTTAAGTTCACGAAACACACTTTTCACTAGCACTCTGAGCCATTTTTCTCATATAGGTCTTAGAAAAAGTGATTTAATCAATCAAAATTTCACAGCAATTGGGAAACTTTAAATTGCAAGTCTACAATTAAAACAAGGTCAACGCCTGTGAGACGGCAAAGGGCTAAGACGCTGTAGTCGCCCACGGGCGGGGGCCAGGGCTGGAGACCCTGGGCCTCCGTGTCACCGAGGAGCCCTCCCGACCCGTTCCCTGCGATGAGACTGCAGGGTGCCCGCAGCCAGCGGCCGCGCCGACGACGCGCGAGGAAGCCACGCAAAGCCGCCCGCAGCCCTCCGCAGCCTCGCGTGCCCCGGCCGCGCCAGGGGACGGCGCGGAAGGCTCGCCGCAGCCGTGCTGTCCCCGCTGAAGGGCCACCAGGCTGTCTGAGGGCACCTGCCGGCGCGGGAGCAGGCAGCTCCTCAGCAGGCACCAAACCCTCTGGGGCTCTTGGGAGGGGACGGTGACCGTGGGCCGCCGCTGCCCCGGGGCGGGCCCGCGGCCTGCGTGTGGGGCGGGCCCGCAGACCGGCCCCCCCGCCAGTCAGAGGGAGAGCCTGGGCGGGGCCGACGCCATCGCCACAAGCACCCTGCTCACAGACGCTCGCAGTTACCCTCCGCAATTCTAGTACAAATTGCAACTGATCATCAGCTAAATTTTCCTTGAGACATCAGTCTCCATTCCTCGAAAGTAATAAAATGCATCCTGGCTGCGGCGGCTCCATGGCGTGGGCGCCGGCCTGCGAACCAAAGGCCCGCCTGTTCAATTCCCAGTCGGGGCACACGCTTAGGTTGCGGGCAAGGTCCCCAGTAGGGGACATACGAGAGGCACCAACACCTTGACGTTTCTCTCCCTCTTTCTCCCTCCCTGCCCTCTCCTTTAAAAGGAGTAAATATTTTTTTAAAAATACCAAGTTTAAAAACAGGAGTAAGATGGGTTCTTCTAAAGAAGCAAGCGGGCCATCTCCTCAGCTGGGGCTGGGCTGGGGGCACCGACTCTGTCCGCGCCCCTCCGGGTTCCCAGGCCACACGCCCGCGCGCTCTCCTCCCCACGCACGCCCCCGCCGCCGCCTCGGCGTTACAGGGCAGTGAGAGGTTGCCGTGCGCGCGGCCGTTCTTCCCAACGCCGCCTGCAGGGGGCCGGGCGCTGGAGTGAGGAACAGTGCGCTCGGCACAGGCTCTGTCCCCTGCCTGCTTGTCCGGCCGAGTCCTTCACTGTGTGTGGCCACAAGGGTGAGCCCTGCTTCCTAAAGGCATCAACGCACCTGCTCTGCAGAAATCCACCAACGGTCACTCCAGCCCATGGGCGACACAACACAACTCACGCCCGAAGGCACGCCCCGCAGACCGGTGGCCCCCGGACCGGGGCAGAGACTCACCATCTGTATGGGCTTCTTCTGGAGGTCCCGTTCGGTCACCAGCCTCTCCTGGTCGGTGACGTAAAGGCCCTTCTGCGCCAGCGCCTGGATCACGGCGTCGTGGCCCAGGAGCGGTTTGGCAGCATCGCTCTTGAGAATGAGGCTCCCCGCCCGGCAGTACAGCTCAGCCGAGAGCAGCAGGCGGACGACGGGCGGCTTGATGTGCTCCTGGTCGTACTGGTCCGTGTAGAACGGCTCTCGCAGGTCCTCGGGCACATTTTCTGTAGCGAGGAAGAGAAGAAATCCTTACAGGGTTTTTGTAAAAGAAACACAACGTGCCCTGGCTGGTGGGGCTCAGTGAACTGAGCGCCAGCCTGTGAACCAAACGGCCGCTGGTTCGATTCCCAGTCAGGGCACAGGCCCGGGTTGCGGGTCAGGTCCCCAGTAGGGGGTGCACGAGAGGCAACCACACGTGGATGTTTCCCTCCCTCCCCTCTCTAAAAATAAATAAATAAACCATTTAAAAAAAAAGAAACACAATGTGTTTCCTAATTACTATATACACCCCAGGAGTTAAGATTCTTTCTCAAAATAACAGTTGCCCTTTAACTGGAAAGATGGTCCCGAGAGCCTGGCGGGCGGCCTGCACTGGGGGCGGGGCCTCCTTTACGCAGACTCCGCTCTGAGCGCACCCTGAAAGGGGCCAAGGGGCCGCCAGCAGGCGCGGGGACGGCTGTGGCCACTGGCTCCGGGGCCTTATCCCCCGGGCTCCGCACCCAGGGCCACTCGAGAGGACTCTGAACTCAAACGTGGGCGATGTCCCTCCCGCCTAAGTGGCCCGCCAGGAGACGCAAGGTGACGGGTACTTCAAGAAACGGCTGGCTTGCCGCCTCGGAGGGCGAAGTCACTTGCCCAAGAACTCCCGCCGGATTCGCTGCCCCTGCACCCTTGGCACCTCCACCTTCCGGGGACCACGCCCCCCCCATGGAGCCGCAGAAAGTACACCCAGGACCGGACAGGGCAACCAATCGCTCCTCCCGACAGCCCCCTCCACTGGCACAGCCCTGAGGGGGCCTCCCGCACCCCCGGGCCCACGTCCAGCCCGCCTCAGGGCGGCCGCCCACCCCCCCCAGAGCCCACCGCGCCAGCCGGACACACACAGCGCTGGCCGCCGCGCACCCCCTTCCTGGCCTCCCCCCAAACCGGGCACCACGCTTCCTGTCCAAGCTGGGATGAGGCTCAGGCCGGTCCTTACAAGGAGGGCGAGCGCCCGGTGCGGGGCGGATGAGGAGCCGCCCTCGGCCTGCCTCCTCCGGGAGCGTGCGGACCAGGCGGCCGCCCCATGTCGCTGGCCGCGAGCCCCCTGAGTGGGCAGCTTTGACATAAGGTCGGTGAAGCGCAGCACTGACCGAGGCCAGCATTTCAAAGCCAATATTCACAAGGAATTAATAAAGTCTCTGGCAATTTTTGTAAAACCCATCCCTTAGAACAATTTGTTATCAGGCAATATCACAGGAAGTGCTGCATGTTCGTTTTCTACGTCACCAGCACGGCTCTGGGGGATCCAAAGAGCCAGACACAATCCCTATCCTCAAGTAGCCGACAATCTACAAAAAGTCTAGAAAGACAGGTAAAGTTCAGCAATTCCGATACTGGAGACAACACCCAGCAATAAGTGACGAAGCACCAAATGAAGAAAGTGAACAATTGAGCACTTAAAGCTCAGAGAAGGTGGCACCGACGCTGGGCCGACCTGGCTGGGCCGACGTGACTCGCCTTAAGGAAGCCGGGTGGGGAGCAGGCAGCGCCCTCAGAAGGACGGGGCTTTCTCAGCAGGAGGGGCGGGAGGGGACACCGAGCGCGCTGAGCAGGGAGGCCGGAAGGGGAGGCTGGGCGCAGGCCTGACTATGAGGCCCTCCCACGGCAGCTAACGAGAAATCGCTGACGTTACCAAGGGCTGAGTGGCACGTGCAGTGACGCCTGGGGACGACCAACCCGGTATTCAATAGTGACAAGGGCAAAAATCAGCGCTGGAGGATGGCACAGGGGGAGTGTCGGTAGAAGGCACCGAGGAGCGAAGTGGCGGCGGGAACGGCCGCGTGGAAACAGCCGAGAAGCAGCCAGGGACCGTGCGGGACTCTGGAAGGAGGGCGAGAGACGTGGCAATTTGGGATCTGGGTGCCATCTAAAAATATCCTCCTCATTTAATAATTGAAACCTCTTTCCCTCCCTCACAGCTGCAGCAACCAGCGGCGAGCTGCGGCCACGGACCAGCCGCCGCGGCGTGGCCCGCGGGCGCCGGGAACCCCAGGGCGCGGTGCGGGGCTTCTCTCCAGCTCGTCGGCGTCACGGGCAAAGGGGAAGCTGTGGAGGACCACGCTGAGAGGAACTTGCGTGATTTTAAGGTCGTCACTCTAAAACGTCTACTAGTGGGTGTTTATTTCCTGGACTCTAAAGCGCCGGCTGAGCAGAGGGAAGGGTGCCCGCTGGCACAGTCACAAGCCTCTCCGCACCCCGGGGCGCCCGCCGACACCGAGCTGCCGCATTCACCTCCACCCCACGCAGGGCCGGTAACAACGGAGGACACTGGCCAAGCTGCTCCGGCGCAGACAACTGTGGGGAAGGCGCCCGCACTCACCCAGGCTCTTCTCTGCATCAGACACTTCCCTGAACTGTCGCTGGATCCCAACAACCCTCCCGTTCCCATTCCACAGATCAGGAGCCTAAGAGGCCATCCCGCCCAAGGGCACACAGTGACAAAGGCACAGCCCTGGCTCCAAACCACCCAGCTAAACACGCCGAGAACGGACAATGGCGTAGCAGGTCACGCGGCGAGAAGGCGGGAGACAGCTCGGCCCCCCCTTTACAACGGCAGACTCAAAAACCCAGGTTTTAACAGCAGGGGCTTTAAAAAGACCCCAGGGCAAGGGCAGGGGAGGATCCAGAGCAAGTCAAAGGGGTTCAAGAGCACGACGAAGGGACTTTTCCACCCGCCAAAGAACGCAAAACTGCAGAGTGGATATTACAAAATAGGTCGCGTTTAAAGACAAGCCTTTGCTTAAAAGAAGGCTTCGAAAACGCCTGCCATCCCCACCGACAGCACAGTGCGTGCCTATCGTTTTTTAAAAAAACAGTTTGGACTTGTATCACATTTAAATCCAATGAACCGAAACAGCACATTAGGAGATAAACAGGTAGCATCAAAGATAAGAGGTTTCACCCTCTCCCTAATCTCCAGAGCACGAAAGATAAGAAATGACAACTTGCAGAGCCGGGTGTGGGGACACCACTCCCGGAATGGCCAAGGGCGGCAGGCAGGTTTTTCTTGCGCACCAGGCCCTGCACAGGACCTGCCCCGACTGCGTCACTGCGAACCGGGCTGGCTCTCCGCCTGACACCCGCAACCCCGGACCGGCCAGGTGCGGGCCGAGGGGCGGGGCGGGCCTGCCCAGGCCACGTGCGGTGAGGCTGGCTACGCCGGAGGCGTCCGCGTGCCAGCGAAGGCTGCAGGTTTCTTTCAAACAGTGACGGGCTCCCGCAGGCCGCTCTGCTGCCGCCGCCATAGTGTCCCCGCCCAGCCGAACCTTTGGCCCCTTAGCCCGCACTCGTACCGCAGGCAGCACGACAGAGGGGCCCCCGGGCCTGTGGGTCTACGGAGCCGAGTCTTCACTCGCCCCCTCGCTTCCTACGGCATCCAGAGCGCAACGGCGAACGTTTCTGCGTCCACGCTCCCCCATCCCGCAGACGGGCCACGCGCCCCCTTCCCCGGCCCCGTCGTCCAGACGCCCGCGTCCTTCTGTGGTCGCAACGCGCCGCATGCACGCCACGTGTACTGTGCACAGGCTGCTCCTTCGCCTCTCGCGTCCTCCGCTCCCTCACAAGCCTGGCTTTTCCCTTCAGGCCTCAGTTACAAGTGGCCGCCTCGGACACACCCCCGACCGCGGGTCACCCCCTGCTGCAGCTCTCGAGGCGCGGCCGTTCCCATCCCAAGAGGTTTAGGTGCGCTCCTCCCTGCCTCCGCCCGCTACAACGGACCCTGGAGGACAGCAGAGAAGTCCCCAGCCCAGGGTCACTGCGCCTAGAACAGTGCCCACGCCCAGCAGGCACTCGACACCCACCGCGAGAAGGCGACTTCCGGAAACACACGGCTCCGCCCCCTCCCCCAGTGTCAGAGGCACAGCACTGCTGAGCCCGCGTCCCCCCGCCGCCCCCGCTCCCCAGGGGCCACCAGACCTCACCTCTGCACCTGGACGGGCCCAAGAAACCCCGGCTTCACAGCGTGAGCCGGTCTCTTGGTGACAGAGGGAGACCTGAACACGGGAAGGGCACAGACCTGGGCGGCCCCTCTGGGGGGGTGGAAATGGGACGGGCCAGCATGGACACCTGGTGCTGGCCATCCACCTGCAGCCAGCGGGGGCGACAGATGGCAGCGGCGCGCTGTCCGCGGACAGACCTGTGCCTCCCGGCTCCGGCAGCCGCGCGCAGCGCCTCTCACCTGGTTTCCAGCGCCTCCCCACGGAAAGGAGCCAAGGCTCTAAAAGAAATGGCTGTTTCCAGGGCTGGGGCGGGAAGAGTATAAGACGAGCTAAGAACACGCGCGCCACTCTCTTCCCAACTCTGCCTGCGCTAGCTCTGGGCCCCCCAAAGCATTCTAAGTGTCCGCTCCCCTACATTCTGCTTCAAGGGTCTCTCTCCCTCGAGGGTCTCATTTATTTCCAATGTCAAGGACACTTCACACAGAAAAGATCCCAAATTGTTATTTCTAGCTTCCACCTCTCTGTCACAACCCACACCTACACATTTACAGCCGACAACTTCGTTGGATTCCTGACATCTGGCCAACACATCAAGCCCCAGGTTTCCAAACACAAAGGTGACCTGCCATTCCGACATGCCGCCTCCTCTCTGTCAATGGCATCGCGACTCAGTCACTGCATCTTAAAAGCTCAAGTGACCTCATTCTCCCAATACCCTCGGGTGGCCTCATCCTCCTACATAGCCTTCAATTCAAATCACTCCCTGTGCACCCCAAGTCTAGTCATTTAAAAATACTAGGATTCCCTCCCTAGTATCCAAGGCCTCCTTCCCATTAACCCGACTCCTACCCAGGCAGGGCGCGATCAGGAGCACAGAGCGTGGGCGGGCCCCAGGGTTCGGGTCCCAGCTCCGCAGGCGCGGTGGCTGGGCATGGGCTCCTCAGCCTCTGGGCCGCGGGCTCCCCGTCAGTAAGACAGAGCAGCGCATGGTCTCCAGCTTCCAGCTGTCGGGAGACTCCCCGAGAGAGGAGACACGCAAGGGCCCGACATGGCCGGTGAGCGCCAGCACCCCACGGCCGCGAGCCCCCCCGCCCCCCGCCCGCTTCCCCCCCTGGCCTCGGCCTCGGCTGTGCGCCCCTCTTGGTGGCCACGCCCCGGCCACCACCGTGACAGTTGTCACAGGTGCGCAGGAGCCAGCCCTTGGGGGGGCCTGGCTACAGCGCACATCGGGATCCGCACAGAGGCGCATCCAGGTGTGCTTACGAGGCCAAAGGAACTTCTGTAATGTCACACTGAATGGTGTGAAAGGGAGAGCGCTAGTTCATCAGGCTGAAACGATAAACTGACGTGAGGAAGTGGGCTTTAAAGCCCACGCTAAGATCTCTGCATTCAAGAACTTACTAACGCCCGGACCAGTGTGGCTCAGTGGGCTGGGTGTCATCCAGCAAAGCGAAAGGTTGCCGGTTTGCTTCCCAGTCAGGGTACAGGCCTGCTGCAGTTTGGTCCCCGGTTGGGGCGTAGCATGTGCAAGAAGCAACCAATCGCTGTTTCTCACTGCGACATTTCTCTCCCTCTCTTTCTCCCTCCCTTCTCCTCTCTCTCTCATAAATAAATATTTTTTAAAATCCCATAGTAAGGAATCGTGTCCTAAGAGGCTCTGTATCATCCACTTTCTCCAAAGGATTTAAGGGGGCAGACCACTTAAAGCGCGCTGGGTTAGGTTTAATTGGGTTAAGCTGCTCAGGAGAGAAAGCAGCTTAACTTCCTCCTCTTTTGTGCTCTCCTTAAATCAGAGCATCTCTTGATTAGTTAAAGTGCATCTGAACAAACTTATGCTTTATTTGATCAAAACTGTATCATTTTTCCACACACACAAAAAAACTATTAAGATCTGGACTATTTGGAATATTTTTAGTGTAAAGACAAGAATGTGATTCAAAGCTTCTGATATAAGATTTCAAATTAAATAAATGCTCCATCTGCTTTCTAGGTATTACAAACTTGTGCTTTACTTATTTTTTATGGCTCATTAACTTCATTCTGTGCCCACAATGGATTTCTAGTTATCATTTTAAGTGACTTCTTCAACATATGGTTCTAAAGTTGACTACTATTTAATGTCAGAAGTTAGAAAGTTTATCATGGAAAAAAACACTAAATCCAAGCCTGATGACCCTATATTGCATCACTGAAGCAGTGATTTTAGTAAATCAGAACAAAGTTGGGCTAATTTTTGAATGAGTAACCATTAGATAAAGCTCTCTATTACATTTGCTGCACAACAGTATTTCCAGCAAATGAAGAAGATTGACACCAAAAGAAATGTTACTTTTTTATTGACACCATATAATTTGGACTTTGAAAGATTGTTGACTAAAGAATAAATAAAAATGTATAAATATAACTTTGTTACTAACGCATCCCTTTCTTGTTACTCTGTCACTCTAAGGTCTTTAAGCTTGTTTTCCATAAGTTTTTAAAATCCACTCAACTGCTGCCAAGGCAAATGTTACTAAGTACCAACAATATCCACTTAAACCATCTGACAGTTTAAGACCAGCCCATTCTTTAAAGGGGGGGGAAAAAAAAAGACTTTAACACACTCTGCACATTTTTTACACTTGGGGTGGGAAGATCACTCTGCAGAGGGAGAAAAAGAGCAAACCCTTACGAGCCAGAAAGACCTGAGCTGGCGCGGAACCCACCACTGGCCGGTGTCTCATGTGGGCATGTCCCCTCCCACCTCCGAGCCTGCTCCCGTGTCCACTGCGAGAGAACAGCGTGGGGAGGGCGGCCACCTTGCACCCGCCGGCCCTGTCCGCGGCCAGGCCTAACCCCACAGCCGCCCCGAGAGCACGGGGCAGTGGGGAGGCGGCTGCACCCCTGCGTGCGCTGGCCAGGCCTTTCGGAACAGGGGAGGCAGCACCCACATCTCCGAGCCGCCGCAGACCCTGACTCGACAGCGGACACCCAGCACGGAGCACGGGGCCTGGCAACTGCGATGCCCCGTCAGGAGACCCCTCCCCTCCGGCCGGGCGGCCTGTTCAGCGCCCGCCCCGCCCCGCCCGCGCTCCAGGAGCTGGTGAGGCCCGAGGGAGCCGGGCAGGCGACGAGGTCCGGCTGCAGGGCCAGATGCTGACACCTGTGCCGCGGGTGCGCCGGTGGCCCGAGGACAGAGGGCACGGGGATGGTCCCCTGCCTCCCTCCCTGCCCACACTGCTCTTCCACGCAGGCACCGTCCACACGCTCCCTTTCCGTCTTTTCTAAACACTTCAACAGCTTTCGCTTCTCCTCCAACGGACTCGAGCTGCAGGATGCGCTTCTGCGGACACCAGAGCGCATCTGCCACCCTCCCCACGGGCACGGGTGGGGCGGGAACCGCGAACGCGCCGCCGCGTGGGCCTCCTCCTGCGTGTCCGGCTTTGCCTGCGGCTCCACAGAAATCTTTAAAACGTAAATGATCTCTGAATGACTTTTTTTTATTAGTCACTCTTGATGCCAGTTGTTGAAACACTGAACATCTTTTTCGACTTCGATATCAGAGCATGAGAATTCAAATAAAATGAAAGCTGTCATAAACAGAAGAGTAGGCCGATGGGAAGTTTCCCTCAAAACGCATTCAAATCATCTCCCCAACACTGAGACTCACTTGCTGGTCGACTGCAACGTGCAGCCTGAAAACGACTCAGTTGTGTGTATTTAAGCAGAAAGGATGAATTAAATCTCTACCCACAGTCTCCCCGAAAGTCTACTCAGCATCTGGAGGAAGGTCGGAAAACGCTAGGAAACTTTTCAGCAACCAGTTTGCACACCGCGGACTGGCTGCCCGGGGCGCCGAGTCTGACAGGGCGACTCGAAGCCGCCAGACAAGGTCGCCAATTTTCCGCGACCCGCAGCGCGGGCTCCCGAGGCGGCCGCTGCGGGGTCACAACGGGCCCCTTTCCCGTTACTCCGCGGAGGCTGGGCTCGGCGGGAGCGCCTCGGTGCCCGTTTGTGTCAGCAGCTCCTGCCCTGAAAAACACTCTCCTATTTAAAAAAAAAAAAAACAAAAAACGAAAAAACTGGGAGTGTTTGTTTCCCTTCCTTTGAGAGGCCGGAGGCCGGCGTTAAACCAGGGCTCTCCCGGCGCCCGGAACGCGGCGCGCCCGGCCGGCCGATGAAGACCCCGAGCGCCCGCAGAGGTTAGAGCGCCTCGACCCGGGCGGGCGCCGCGCCGCTGCTCCCAGTGTCAGAACCGCGGCGATACTACGGCCCCCGCCCCGCCAATGAAGGCACCGACTCGGGCTCGCCGGCGCGGGGAGGACGACAGCGCCGAGCAGCCGGCCCGAGGTCGCGGCCGCGCGGACGGGCCCCTGAACGCCGGCCGCTCGGCGACCCCACCCGGGCGCCCGGGCGCGGCGCCCGCCCAGACCGGCGCGGTTTCGGCGCCCGCTTCCGCTCCCGGGGTCCCGCCAGCGCCCGCACCCGCGGGCGACCCCGCGGCCGGGAGGCGCGCCCCCCGGGGCAAGGCGGGGACGCCCCCGCCTACCTGTCCCGAAGGCCTTGGCCACCAGCCAGGCCAGGTTGCAGGCGATCTTGGCCCGGGCGAAGTCGTAGTGGTCGAAGGGCTTGATGGCGGGGACAATGAACGTCGTTCTGAGCTCCCGCGGGTCCGCGGCGTCCCCCATGGTCCCGGGGTCCTCGGCGTCGGGCGCGGGCGCTCACATGGTGCGCGGCCCGGGGCGCGGGCGCGGGCGGCCGGGCGGCTGGGTGTCCGCGCGCGGGGGCCCCCGCCTCCGGCCACCGCCCCCGCCGCCCGCGAGCGCGCGTGAGCGAGGCCGCTCCCCTTTGTCTGCGCTCGGCCGCGCGGCGGGGGCGGCGGCCGCAGGCGTCGGGATGCGGGGGCTCAGCGCCGGCGTCGGGGACCCGCGCCCGCCATCGCGAGGCGGCGCTCCCTCCGTCAGGCCGCGGGCGCAGGGGCGCGGGCGGGGGCGGCCGCCGGCTCGACGCTCAGCAAACGTCAAAATCACTGCGGCCGGCCCTCCCCCCGCGCCCCCCGCCGCCGCGCCCGCGTCCGCGTCCGCCGCCCCGCGAGCCGCCGCGAGCCCAGGCTCTCGGCTCCCGCCTGATCAGTGACGCCCTCAGTGCTTTTCCCCTTCACGCCCGAATCCGCCGCTCCCCCTAGACCGTCGCCACCGCCACCGCTGCGGTTTTCCGGCTGCGGCACTGGCCCGAAGGAGCAGCTGCGGGCACTGAGCATGCGCCCTCGTGCGGCCCCGCCCCGATCAGGCCCCGCCTTCGGCCCCGCCCCCAGGCCCGCCTCCTCCCAGCTTTCCTCCACCCGCAGGGATCGCGGCCCCTCAGGCCGGAGCACTGAGCATGCCCAGCCTCGCTTTCGCTGTGGCCACGCCCTAGGCCACACCCCCGTGCCCGCCCCCGGCCGGCTTCCCTCCAGCCGCAGGCGTCTCGGCCCCGGCTCACTGAGCATGCCCAGCCTCGGTCCCGCCCCGGCCACGCCCCGGCCACGCCCCCGACCGGCTTTCCTCTGGGCTCAGGCTGCAGGCGCCTCAGCCCCGAGGCGCAGCTCACGGAGCATGCGCCGTAATGGCCTGCCCGGGTCCAGGCTTCCGTGCGGCTGCTTTGTAAGCATCCCTTGGACGCCCGCCTGAGTGGATATCCTCCGCGTCCCTGGCGCTTGGCTGCTGCCGTTTACACTGCTGGCAGAGGAAGGGGAAGGAAGGAAGGACGGAGGCCTGGCAGTGGCTCTCATGTGTTAGCTACACGCTGGGTAAGCAGAGAGAACTGGTATTTACTCACACGCTGGCTGTGTGGCACGCACTTTGCAGCGAACCTGACGCGCACAATTCCAGCTAGTCCTCGGAGGAACCCTAGCGGGGTGGGTGTCCTCGCTGGCGGGCCACGGAACGACCGAGGCGACGCGCGCGCGTGCGTTTGCTCACACGTGGGTTACCCCGGTTTGAGGATCGGTGAAGCTCCGAGCCTGCATTCGAGTCATCAGGATACGCTCTTAGCTCGATGCTCTGCACTCCCGCGCCCTCTGTGGGCGCGGGGCTCATCCGCCGGTGCCTCCCCGTTCCCGTCAAATAAGCATAAATTCTGTCGCGAGGCCAACCGACGCCCAGCGCGACCTGGCACCTGCATACACACCTGGACGGCTGCGCTGTGTCCGAGCCGCGCTCCACCAGCCCGAGGGACGTGCTTTCTCCGAGCCGTGCCCTCGCTCAGTGCGCCCCCTCTGTCCACCGTGCTTACTGCTGCTCCACCGACGAGGTGCTTACGGCCATCACCTCCTCCAGGAAGCCCTCCCTGACAGCTCCTGCCCGGCTCCCAGCCAGGGCTATCACGTGGGTGCCTTCCCCGCTGCTTCCAGAGCGCCCTGTTCTTATTTTCTGTCACGGCATGAGCCACACTCTGTGCAGCCAGCAGGTACACGCCTGCCTTTCCTACCCCTGTATCACCTCTATAGTGTTTAGCCCACAGTAGTCGCTCAATTACTGTTTAGGGACAATGGACGGATGTTATTGTTGGTAAGGCTAATGCAGTTGATGTAACTCACTTCCTCACAACATCTCATTTTAATACATTCTCTAATTTTAATTTTTACCAAGTCCTGTGTCATCTTCATTTCACCGATGAGAAAACTAAAGCTCAAAACTTTTTTTAAATCAGCCTGTATCACACAATGAGTAAACTGGCAGGCCCAAGATTTGAACCCAGGGCTGCTGTCCTCCAAAAGCTCTGTGTTAGCTGCCAGGGCCGCCCTGGAATTGCCTGCCCGTCGGGTAGAAGCGAGATACCGAAAGCACAAGGGGAGGGACCCGCTCTGAAAAGGCAGGAAGCTCCACCCGCCTGAGAGCAGGCCCCTCTGATCTGGTCTAATCCCCACGAACACGCCACCCTAACCCTCGGAGGCACTGTTAGAGGTAATCCTTGCTAGCACCGTGGGCAAGGAAAAGAATTCACACACTGCCGGGTGGTTGATGTTGTTTTTAATAATTTAATTAATATTAATAGAGCCTCGTCGGCAAGGCCCTTTGCGAGAGCACACGGGATGATAAAGTTAAAGGTGGATAACAGTCCACAAAGTGGGTTCATAGGGGAACTACGCAAATTCTCACGTCCATTCTGCGAAGCCGGCGTTGCTATTATCTTTCGGTTCTAGACGCAGGGCTGAGGGTTGTAGAGACTGAGTTGCGCGGCCAAGATTTCGCGGCTCGTTCATCTCAGAGTCTGACTTCAGAAACAGGCCCACGTCTGCTGGCTCCATGCCTTGGGCACCCGTCCCCGCGTCCGTCCCCTTCCCGGATTACGGAGGCCGGGGTGCACATGCGGGAATGCCCTGGAAAAGAGGTTAGTCCTGTGAGAGACAAGTGCAGGCAGAGCACGCGGGTGATGAGATCGAGAAGGTTTCCTAGAGGCTTCTGTTTAGTCTCATGAACCCAAACTCACCTGCAACTGAGGTCTGGAGCAAGAAGCCAAATTCAGAGGAACTGGCAGCCTAGAAGGTTGAAGAGAGACACTGAAACCCTCCGCCAGTTAGTATAATAATCTGCGAGCTGATACAAGATTCCGAGGCCAACCGTCATGTCCCAGCGACCCCGTGTTGTGTGTGTGGCCTGGCGCAGTGGTGTGCGCGCCACGGGTGCTAGGGAAATGCTCGCTGAACGTTACTGAAAAGTACTTCAACCTAAATAAACACAATAAGGAAGGGGAGGAAACAAAGGCCGTCGCTGTGACTTGTCCTTTGATTCAGTGGCGGTGCGTTTAGCACTGATGCTGTGACTGTGGCCCCAATTCGGGAGGAGTGTGTTTAGGAATAAGAAACAAAATGCCCACACAAAGAGCAGCTTTCACTCTCCGGGAGGCCCTGAGACCTGAGGTCAGGGTAGGAGGCTCTTATTAACAGAGAAACACCCTGGGCACAAAGAAGGATTCATTTCCAGGGAGACAGACACTCTAATAGGGTGTTCTTTGTGACACCTTCAGAATGATCCCTTTTAAAAACTAGAAATCTCTGCAGAATCCCAGTCAAAAAGAACTGCCCTCCACTGCCTCCTTAAGATATCTGACTTTGTTAAAAACAAAACCCAAACCCCGCGGTTCTCTGGGCCAGCTTGTTCAACTGCACAGCTATCCCTCTGTGTTTTGTCTCCAGGCTTAGAATCTCTAGCCATCAGACAACAGCTACACTTATTCCTACACATACGATCCTCCTTCTCACTATTGTAAATGTTCCTCTCGTTTCTCCTGGAAAACCCACAATCTCGGCCAGACTTCCTTCCTCGTGGCCGCCCTCTATCTCTCTGTCCTTGGATGGAGCCATAAACACATTCATTCAGTCATTAGCCAATATTGATTGAGCGCCTGCCTGTGAACGAGGCACCCGAGGGGGCACATTGGGGCCAGAGCGGGCCAGCGCTCCTCCATTGTTGCGTCTGTGTCTCTACGGGCTGGAAGCCTGGCTCTGTCTGCAGAAATCTCAGAAACAAAGAAACACTTAACCACCTGCCCTCCCCTGAGACCTCATGTTATTTTTTAAAATGGAAAGCATGTATCTGTATAGTATCACCCACTTCCAATTAGTTACAGTAATAGCCACTTATTCTGTATTAACACTTTCTATGCACCAGGCCCTGCTCTACATATATTACTTGATTTGATCCTCACCACAGTCCTATTGTTGTTCTTGCTTGGCAAATGGAGAGACCAAGGTGCAGAGAACTTAAGTGAGGAAAACCCGAGTTACTTTGAAACTTTGAATCGACCAGGTTAAGAATGGGGTTGGGGGTTGGGGGGCGGTGAGTGCCTGGCTCACTGAAGACAAACTATAGCAGCATCTGGTGAATCAACACAGATGAGAAGGGTCTGTGCTGCGTAGCTGACACTCTGTCACTTCTAGACACAGTGTGGCTTTCATCCGAGTAGCCAGCAGGGTTTTACGAGGATTACTTCATCGGCCCGTGGTTCCAGCAAGGCCTGCGTGGAGCAATGCCAGTGTGGCCGGCACCGCGGGACACAGCGAGGCCATGTAACTCCCGGCGTCGCACCAAGTTGGTGTCTAAACCAAAAAGTGAGACCTGGCCCTCGGGGTACCAGGTGCAGTACCGTGTTTTCCTGGCTCCGCAAGCTACTTTCCTCTATTTATCCCCTGCGCAAACCGAGGTCCCCACGGTCTCCAGTAATGGGCAAAGCCTCCTTCATTTTTAACATCATGGAAGGCAGCTGACAGAAGACACTGGGAGTAAGCACCCTTGCAGTAAGTGACTGGGACGTCACTTCTCCACTCCTTGGCCTCCACTGCTGAGAAACAAGGGGGTGGAATTAGGCAACATGTAAGCCATTTCCAGGTCACCGACCTACGCTAGGAGGATCCACCTATGTGCTTTGCCAGACCGTGACGGAAGGCTAGGTCCTTCACTGCCTTCGTCTGGGTTTACATCTCTAGAGCAGAAGTCACTTTTTTTATCTCCAGAAAACTTTATTATGGGATGCTGTGGAAAGGCTAGGGGAGGTGACAGGGCAGGAGACGGGACCCCCCGTGAAGGCAGGGACCGAGTCAACCGCGGAAGGACCCAACAGAGAGCGGGGCAGGTGCAGCTCTTGGAAAGCGCAGGTGTCCTGCCACTGACGTCACCAAGGTCTAGAGGTTTAGAGCGTCGCCTAGTCACCAGGAAAATTTTGTTCTTTCAAACAACTGCCTGGTGGAAACTCCCCAGTGCCCAGCGGCAGAGGGGAGG